GAATCTTGCACAACATCTAGTAAAGGTCCTATTCTCTCTTCAAAGCCCTCTCCTTGTTTTATATTAAATGTTATTTTAGGACCTAAATATTACAAAGCCTCTGCCTTGTTAGATTCAAGAGCCTCAGCGTGTTTCTTACATGAAGAATTTACTAAAAGACATAGCATATCTTTACTAAAGAAAACTAAACTTGTTCATGTAGAAGTCATAGATGGTCGTCCATTGTCTTCTAGAGATATTGCTCACGAAACCCTTCCTATAGAAGTAATAATCAATGGTCATAATAGTTTTGTAGTATTTAATATCATTAGATCTCTCTCTAATCCAGTCATTTTAGGTTTATCGTGGTTAGAAAAATACAATCCTCATATAGATTGGATTTTCTGAACTCTTACTTTTTCTAAAAGTATAACTAACAGTGTAGTTAATCAAGTAGAGAGTCATAAGTTCAGTTCAATTAAACCCCTATATATAGGTGTAAAAGCTTTCTTACATGCTGCAATAAAAGAATCACCATATATTATTTATGCCACACCTGTTTCTGCTGGTAGAAAGACTTGAAGTGGTATTCCAAGCCAATATCAAGAATTTCAAGATGTATTCGAAAAAAGGAATGCGGATACACTCCCGGAACATCATCCCTATGATTGCTCAATTGACCTTCAAAAAAGAGTACAACCTCCATTCGGACCAATCTACAATTTATCACAAAATGAGTTGACTGAATTCAAGGAGTATATAGAAGAAAATCTAGCCAAGAATTTCATAGGCCATTCTAAATCTCCAGCAGGAGCTCCAATTCTATTTGTGAAGAAAAAAGATGGATCATTGTGGATGTGTGTTGATTATTGAGGACTCAACAAGATTACCATCAAGAACAGGTATCGACTACCTTTAATATCTGAACTTCTTGATCAACTGAATCAAGCTAAGATCTATACAAAAATAGATCTTCAAGGAGCATACAATCTAGTACGCATCAAAAAAAGGAGATGAATGGAAGACTGCGTTTCGAACTAGGTATGGACATTTTGAATACAACGTCATGCCTTTTGGACTTACAAATACACTAGCAGCTTTTCAACATTTAATGAATAATGTTTTTTGAGAGTTTTTGGACGATTTTGTGGTCTATTATCTAGACGACATCTTGATCTATTCTAAGAATCCAAAAGAACATGAACTTCATGTTCGTCGTGTGTTATAAAAATTAAGAGATGCATGACTCTATGCCAAGATAAAAAAAAGTGTGTATTCCACAATACTCAAGTCAATTTCTTAGGTTACATCATTTCAAATGATGAACTTATGATGGATCCTAAAAAAGTTCAAACTATTATAGATTGGAAGATCCAAAAAATGATAAGAGATGTCCAATGCTTTTTGAGATTTACCAACTACTATCGAATCTTCATTAAGGACTTCTCTCGAGTTGCAGCTCCACTTACACGTTTGACTTGTAAAGACAAACTCCAATGGAATTAAGAAGCAGAAGTTGCTTTTGAATCTTTGAAGAGAGCGTTTGTTTCTGCATCAATCTTGTATTGTGTTGATTTTTCCAAAGCATTTTTTATGGAAATAGATACATCAGACTTTGCTCTGGGTGTAATCTTATCACAAATGAAAACAGATGACAAACTTCATCCAGTAGCCTTTCATTCAAAAAAATTCTCAGCTGCAGAAATCAATTATGAGATCCATGACAAAGAACTTCTTACAATTGTAGATTCTTTTCAAGAATGGCATCATTACCTAAAAGACGCTTCCAATCCAGTCACCGTGTATATAGATCATAAGAACCTCAAATATTTTATGTCAACACATGTATTAAATCATCATCAAGCTTGTTGGAGCATGTCTTTATTAAGATTCGAGTTCATCATCACTTATCGGCCAAGAAAACAACAAGGTTTGTTTGATGCCTCGTCTAGACGTTCTTATCTTGTACCAAAAGAAGGAGATGCAACTTTTGAGCAACAAAGAATGGTTCTCTTGAAGCAAGAGCAATTTCATCTTCAAGCAATAAAATCAACATTGACTGTTGATTTAATTTTTCTTAAGCAAGTCCAGTTAAGTATGTCTTCAGACCCTCTTGTTCATGATATCAAGAATAATTCTTTTAAATCTCATGATTCCTCTAAATTTGAATTCATGAACAACCTACTCTATTTTGAAGGATGCCTATATATTCCAAAAGGAGAAGCACGTTTATGTATTCTTCAAGCTCATCACGACTTTCCAACAGCAGGACATTTTGGATATAATAAGACTTTGGAGCTGATATCTAGGGTTTTTTGGTGGCCTCAAATGTAGAAGGCAATCAAAGATTTTGTACAATCATGTGATGTTTGCTCAAGATCAAAAACTCCTCATCATCGATCTTTTAGACTTCTTCAGCCATTACCCATTCCCGAACAACCATGGTCTTCTATTTCTATGGATTTCATCAGGGATCTTCCAATCTCAGGTTCTTATGACTCTATATTCGTGATAGTAGATCGTTTTACTAAGATGGCACATTTTGTACCATATATAAAATCTATCACAGGTGAAGAAACAGCTAAGCTCTTTCTTGACAATATCTATCACTATCATGGATTACCCAAGGATATTATATCAGATAGGAGAACTCAATTTATATCAAGATTTTGGCGTACTCTTTTCAAGATTCTAAAAGTGGATATAAAACTATCTTCAACATTCCATCCTCAAACTGATGGACAAACGGAGCGTGTTAATCAAATTTTGGAGCAATATTTAAGATATATCATTAACTACCAATAAGATGATTGGACAACTCTTTTGCCATTGGCAGAGTTTGCTTACAATAACATGGTACATTCTTCTACAAAACAAATACCTTTCTTTGCTAATTATAGTTATCATCCATGACTTGATACCTTTGACTTTTCAAAAGTTGATATTCCTGCTGCGAAAGATTTGACGATTCATTTATCAAAGCTATATGCAATGATGAAGGCGCAGTTAAAAGAAGCTCAAGAACAACAAAAGGTCAATGCGGATGTCTATCGAAAGGAATAACTACCATTCCACTTGAGTGATAAGGTATGGCTACTTCGTCGCATTATCAAGACCACTTGTCCTTGTGACAAGTTGGACTATCGAAGGCTGGGACCATTTTCTATTTCTACACAAATCAATTCAGTTGCATATCGTTTACATTTATAGGAATCAATAAAAATCCATCCAATATTCCACGTGTCTCTTCTTGAATCATACAAGACAATGGACATACCAAGAAGTTGACAAGCTCCACCTCCTTCTATAGAAGTGGACAATAATGAAGAGTTTGAAGTAGAAGAAGTCTTAGATTCAAGGCAACACTGAAATAAATTAGAATATCTTGTCCATTGACGCGGATATGATATTAATGAACGTACATGGGAGCCAATAAAGAATCTTGCAAATGTAGTAAAGGCGGTGGAGGCTTTTCATCGACGACATCCATCAAAATCAAGATGAAAACCTTGTTTATAAAAGAAACAATATCTAGACAAGATAACATTCTACTTTCAATCCTTGTTCATAGCTTCTTTGTAGTTGTGACACTTAGGAGATGGAGAACCAACAACCAGCAGATTCGACTCGAGAGCCTTCATTTGCTGACCTGCCAAATGAGACATTACGATTGTCACAACCTTCAAGACGATGTAATCGAGATGAAGATCTTCAAGAACGACATGTTCTTCCTCGAATAGATGGCGAGATACAACGCGTTTGGTATCACGATTTGGGAAGGGACTCCCGATGTTTGGTGATTGTGCTAGAGGTAGGAACAACTCCTCATGGTGTTCCAAATGTTCTATTTGAAGGAAATTATGAAGGCCTCAACAATGATCAAATAACTGAGTGGTCTTCTCGCCCTGGTATGAGATACTACCGATGGTTGAGAGGCCCTATCAATCATCTTCAAAGAGAACAAAAATCAGAGTATGTAGCGAACACAATTCGTCGCATCATAGATTTCCTCAACATATGATGACTGCTCCTCATGGAACTTGTCCCTAGAAAGGAGGGTAATATCACGGACATACTCATGTAAGCTAGTAATTACATATACAAATAGGTGGAAGTAAGTACAAGTAGGTAAAAGTAAGTTAATTCTATAGTATTTAATATGAAAGATTCCTAGAAGCTTCATAGACGCTGCTTTGACTTCATAGGTGTCTTTAATTGACTTTTTGGATTAAAAACGTGGTCAACAAGTTAGCCATGTGCCACACATGTTATTAGCTTGAAGATCAAGCTAACTATGTGGCCCACATGTAGAAAAACTTGCCTTGTAAGTCAAGGCATGTGTCCTACAAAGTCAACACATATTGGAGGTCCTATAGAACGCTGCCATGTAGCCCTTAGTTAAATAGTATATATAGAAACAAGAGTGAAGCCTTCTTCACTCTTGTCAACTCCTTTCTTGGTTCTAGTCTAGTTTCAAGGATCTCTAGTTTTCTTGTCTTTTGGCAATAGCCATTCCAGTTTCTCTTTCAATATACATACTTGTTTATTTATATTTTGTTACCTTTCTTTGAGTGAAGGCTCACTTGTCTGAATTATTTTTTCATCGAGTTCTTGTCCTTGACACTTTCTCATAAGATAATATCAAATTTACCTTCATTTATCTTTTATCTAATACTTCTTATTTAGATGATATGCATTGAATATCCAACATCTAAAATAATTAAAAATTGATACAATAATGTTGAATCCTCTACCATTTCACGTCTTAATTTAAACTTAAACCTATTCATTTCTTTAATAAGAAAATAAAAAGAAATCCATTCTTTTGCTTTATGGATAAAAATAATTGATTATCTACGGTTTAATTTGACCTATAAGAAAAGTTAAATGAAAAAACACCTTTAGTAAAGAAAAAAAACTCTCCATTGAATAAACATTTGAATTTCTATGTGATAAAAGAGTCTTCAAGCAACAACAATTCATAATCTTTATATACAAAATAAGAAGTTTATATAGGATTATTGTCAATTTTAGAAGACAATTGGAACTAAGTGAAAAATACACAATAATTAGACATACTAGTTTTATAAAGCTTAGTTTCAATTTACAAATAACGAAATATATAGATTCCTCATAGTTTTTGAGATGTGAGAGAACCTAACTACAATAGCCTAGAGAAAACGAAGCATATCAAGCTGATGTGAATGGCTAGGTGTGAATGGCAACATGAACATACATAATACAATGATCCGTTTCACTTGTTTCCAATGCACGACATCGAGCAATTTTGCTCGCAGGTTTGTACGGCATATGTTCTAATGATCTCGAAACAAGCAGCTCAACTTTCTCCTACATCGAGTTGCATGTTTCTGTGGACATCACGGCAAGAGTTGAAAAATAACACAAAACAGCAAGAAAAGAACAACGCGATTACACATACACTCAAATTCCAGATGGCTATGAGGACCGCCAACTCATGGAGCAGGCATTTGACCTGCGTAGAGTTTGTGGTTCAACTCGCATCTTGCACAAAGCATTGCTCAAGAAGTCCTACCGTTGAAAACTCTTACGTAGATTTAATAGATCCATAAGAAACCGAAGGCTACATACTCTTTACTCCTTTGCAAAGGGCACTGCAGACAAAAGGGCAGGAAAGATCTATACCACCAATGAGGGTTGAATCCGAGCACTTCAAAGATTTCGCCATGTCAAGCTATTGACCCTTAAACTGAATGCTCACGAAACAGGGTAGCTATTGAAGAATAGGTCGAACTAAAGTGTCGATTCCTTATCCTGATGACAAGAGCGAGAATGTCTTCACCAATGAGCCTCTACATCCCGTCTTAGTCCTAAACTCGTTTGATACATTGGGCGTGCTGCCGAAAAGACCGAGCGTCACAATCTTCGGATGCCAGTTACAGGAGATGGTGTCCCAGAAACTAAATGCCCTCAAAAGAACCCTCGTCAACAACACGCATCAAGAACGCTGATGGCGCCTCGCACGAGGTGGCCCCATTGCTGTCGCTCTTTGTGGATTCCTTTTCCAGGAAGACTGTGTGTAACCGAGTGAGCAACAGGTGCCATCGTCAACATCCCATAAACAAATCCCCTAAAGTGAAAAAAAAATGCGTAATTATCCAATATTTCATCCGTCTTCATCGAAACCATACATCTGGATGCCACAAACTGTGGTGACGATGATTCTGGATTGTACAGGCGAAGAAGATATGATTGGAAGAAGAGAGTAGATATTAACAAGAGGGCGTCGCGCGTCTCTGGTGGGTCGCACCATTTCGCATATTTCGGTGACTTGATTGGGTTCCGGCTTGGACTGGTCGTCGGTGGGCATGTTGTTCTAAACCCTCATCGAGGTTCTTCTCCCTGTAAGTTTCATTGTGTTTTGTGGGAGTTCGCCGTAGTGAATGGCGGCTTTTATGCTGGAGCTTGGATATGTGTCTTGTTTTTCATTGCAAGTGAGATACGACGCCGCAGTAGTGATTTGTAGTGTGTTGTTCAGCTAGATTGTATCGTTTCATCCCCTCCTTCGTGTCGCTCAGGTTGCGTATTGTTGCATTTGTTCTTCGCCGTAATTTCTTTAATTTCTGTTTTCTAATGGTATTGCTTTGCTTTTGTATTCGGGCTAAAGTTTCATTAATCTTCAGAGATTATGCAGTTAGAACTTTCACATTTTTAATTCTCTCCGTGTTAGAATTTAGTCTTGCTCTTGGTGGACATCAGGGCGCCTACTTGTAAACTTTGTTGCTTTGCTACTCCTGTTTCCAATTTTTCGGGGAGTGGTTTGTGTGGCCGCACACTTGCTAGATATTAAGGATTTGGGATTATATTTGACGTCGCGTGTGTGGTTTGTGATGATGTGTCAGGTAGTTGGGATCGTTTCTCTGCGGGATTTTCATGGCGGCCTCGGCCCTATTCGAACTCATTCGTCATTAATCCTTCGGCATTGAAGGATGCAAGTTTCACGAAGATGAATATCCTATTCTGAAAATTAGTAACTGGTGAAATCAGTGTGTAGACCATGGCCCTCGTGCAGGGAATACAGACTGTGCTCTACAGCCACATGCGACATCTGCAACCTCCACATCAACCCCTCGAATGCAGTAGCAATTTGAAGGACTTTTCATGTAAGGACTTTAGAGGTAATCGTGGTTTGGGTTCTCAGACTAAGAGAATTATCAGTGCTGAGGCAAGGAAACAGAGGTTTGCGCGTCTGAGATTTTTCCATCAGGAGCCGGTGTGGCTTACGTATCGGAGCAAACTCAGGGGTGAGAAGTTTGTATTAGGCTCGGGTCCCCTGAATTGTTTACAAACAAGGCAAGTGGAGCATGCGGAGGACACATTGCCGAAAGAGAAAACATTGGATTCTTGTGTTGAAATTAAGAAGGGAGATGTTACAGAGACAGATGAGTGGGCTGTTAAGAAGGGTCTGAATGCATTGGATGCTTACTTTGACAAACTCCACGCGAGCAGGGCGGAAGAAAAATCTATCTCAACATTACGATCTCAAGGAACAGATACTGGGGTTCCTACGACTGCCTTGCCACCCAAAACAGACAGTAGTGGGCTGGTTGTGACTTCCGAAGTAGCTGACGCAGGAAACGTAGTGAAGGATCGTGTAGAAGATGACAAATTCAAAAGTAAAACTGATGCACACTCCGACAAGAGCGGTCTTGATGCACTAGATGCATATTTCGGCAAGTTACGTGAACCTGAGAAAAGTAAGCATTGGTTGTGATAAAGTTGTAGTAGCGTTAGCTAAAATTCACCATTGGTTGATCTTTGTTTTGAAAATGGCGGGTGAGTTTTACTTTGAAAAAGGCTGATGACCCTCTTTTTTCAGTGATTAGTTACTGCTTTGATCAAGGATAGGTGAAACGAATCTATCTGAACCTTTGTGCTTAGTCGGTGTATCACATCTGTGTAGTCGCAGGCTCCTACGAGGATATAAAGAAGGCAGTGGAAGAGGGCAAGCAGAGCACAGTCAACGAAGAGAAGGAAGTAAATATCAAGGTCGCTGGTGCATCGGAAACTTCTGCAGAGGAGGATGAGGAACTAGAATATAGAGAGCTCATGAAAGAGCTAGAGAAGGCTCTTCGGCAACAAGCTGAATCAGGAAAGCTTCTTTCTGCAGAAAATGAGAACTTCATGCAGGGTTCTTCTTGGGGTTTGCAAGCTGCCACTCCGAATTCCTATTTTGTGTGAGTCCTGAAGTCGTTTCACTGATCTTTCTTAGGTTGAACTACTTCCCTTTTTTCCATAGACTATGGTGTGATAGTTCTTTCTAACTAGTCAAGTGTCTGCAGATGATGCTGCAGTATCAGATCTTACCCTCGAATCTCTTTGTGGCAATGTTGATATGTCCTCTGTGCTTTTTCAGGAGTATAAATGTCTGAATCCTACGAGTTGAATGTGATCATTGTATCATAACATACTAACCTAAAATACAATCTCACTTGCAGGAACGGCTTGGTGGCTTTGAATATCGCTGTATATTTGTTTGGCTTGGCCAGTCCTCTAGAGGTGCCTGGTATGGTCGATGCCTCTCTTCCTTATCTCTATGGAGCAAAAGTGAACGAACTAATCGTGAATGGCGACTGGTGGCGTCTAGTTACTCCAATGTTTCTGGTAATAATCATTACCCCGTTATTGGTTTGATTTTGCCGATGCGTGCATAATCTACTCGGATTTGGTGATTTAGAATGGAGCATGTATTTTTGAAACACTTACTGTGAGTACCAAGTGGACTCTATAGTAGCATTGCCTCTCAACATTTTATCACCGAATTGGCGAAAAGCAAAGAGGTCATGTCGACATCACATAGTGACAAGCTTAATGATCAAGGATCACGATGGCTCATTTCAGGCTCTGAAGCCTGACATGATACTGTTGTTGACCAGACTCGTTTGCTATTTCAGAAGCTTGCACTGTTCTTTTCATTTTTTTTTTTCAGCAAAGTCTCTTGTGATTAAGTGCGCTAGATAAATTCGTAGTTCTTAGCTTGTGAATCGAATATTGTCCTGCCTGCTTGTTATTACGATACCTGGATTTTGAATGAAATTTAACTATACATCAAGAAATGCTTCTCCTAATCGAGGCAATAAATTGTTTTTGTGGGAGTGCAGCATTCTGGCCTCTTGCACTTAGGTTTGAGTACCTGGGCATTGCTAGAATTCGGTCCTGCAGTGGAAAGTGCGTATGGAACTTTAGGGTTTACCATGATCTATCTACTTGGCGGTGCGTATGGTAACCTACTGAGCTTCTTCCACACACCTCAAGGCACTGTTGGTGGATCTGTAAGTCGGTCTTTCTCCAACCTTGCAGTAATCTGGATTTGTATACGGATGTCGGTTATTGTGGCTTAGTTTGCGGTAAATTGCATTTTTGCTTGAGGTTTGGCTGCATGTTAAGCCTAAGAATCTATTCGTCTTGCAGATTTACTGATTATGTATAAAATGAAACTGTATACCATATATCTAAGATTTCGGCACGTTGCAACTTCCTGTAAATTTTCCTCTCAAATAAATCTTCTGACTGATAGTGTTTTGTTTTGGACAGGGCCCCATCTTTGCCTTAATGGCTGCTTGGGTGGTCTATATACTACGCAACCGTGATATAATCGGTCTGGATGTGGCAGGTGAAATAGTTCGGAAAGTGATCATTTTTACTGCCATTACTTATGCATTGTGCAACTCCTTCCCTGTTGATGACTGGTAAGTGGATTCCTTGAGTCTCTGCCCAGTATATTGAAGACGATTAAATCAATTCTTCTTAAAGCTTAGCAATAGAATTTGGATACAATAAAAAGCAAATTTTGTCCCTTGAAGTTTCTTATACACACCTTTATTTATTTTCTTACCTTTGTCTGTATTTTTCTTGACTTTTGATTGTGAGCTGCTTGCAAATATTGCAGGACCCACTTGGGAGCAGCAATAAGTGGCCTTTCCTTTGGTCTACTCACTTGCCCCCTAGTTCGAGTGAATGTGCACGTTGAAGATGTGAATGATGAAAATGATGATGACGCAATGGAGTCGTATCTTCTATTGAACGAGGGCATTCATCCATATCGGCTCCTCCTTGTGTTTGGCCTCTCCGTGGCAGTGTTTTTCGCTCTCTACAGCGTAGGCGTACCATATGCAACAGAGTTTCACTTTCTCCATGGCGGCCTTGGTGATGAGTATTGGTAACATAATGCGCTTTTTTTTGGCACTAGAAATGCAGTTGGCAGCAGAGATCAAACTCCAGGTGTCCATCTCGACCGATATTTGCAAGCACAGCAGACAGACATCCATCACAACAGCATCGGCTGGTGGGGCATGTCCTTGATGTCCATACTTCATTAGATATGCTAAATAGGGCCTTTTGTTCAGGGCCAAGTCCAGGGTGAGGTTAAACGATGGAGTACACGCATATAACAGCTTTGAGATACAGTTGGTTTGCTGTGAAGCTTTGAATTGTCAACCATTAAAGTGGCGGTAGAGGAAGAGCTTGGGTAGCACCAACTGTGGTTGTGACGTGAAAATTCTGATTGCCGTTGAAAGTATGACCACGGTGGGTATCGTTGTATCCAGAACAAACAAAGCATAAGTCTCCTAAGAGATTTCGAATTGCTTTTCATGGTGTTATTTGCATTTGCTATGGTGGTTCAACTTCAGTAGGTTTGAGATCTCATCGTCCTGGAGAAACATCCGAGGCATGAATTTTTCTGATTTCAAAAGGAAAAAATATCCCTGATCTGTAACTGTAGTTTGATTTGCCTCAATGTTTTTACATCACCAAGTTTTCATATATAGCTTCTAATTTTCTCCAGTAGAATACTTTATTTGTATTCATTTTCACAAAGATTGGTCTATAATCGTCAACGGCACAAGGATCTTCCATTTTTATTCCTTCGCATCAAAAAGCCTGTGCAATCCTCAGATCCACCTGGCCATCTCTCACCAGTGGAATTCACATTTCACACAGAATCGAGATTCTCCGACTTGACAGATTGAATTTAGTTTCCTTGTGAGGGACAAAAGTCCGGAACCTGCTTGGTTTGGTTGGGCACCACTTTAATTCATGTGACTATAGGTTTAAGTTTGAATATGCATTTTGGTGTATTTCAAGAAAATAAAGTGATGGCTCGTTTAAAAGTTATGTATAAGTAAAAAAATATATAATAAATGGTTTGGATATGTTGCACTTGCTTCTGATGGTTTTTGGACGATGTTGACAATAAATACTTATAATAAAAATAGTTGTAACAAAAGGTTACTTAAAACAAAACAACACAAACCTTCAAGTTTAGTTTGTTGTGCATTTTTAGATTATGAATATTCAAGAATTAAAATTTAAAAACTTATTACATTTTAGAAAAATAAATAATCATCAATATCTCCATTTTTTATGTGAAGTAGCAAAACATAACTCAATAAATGATAATGCAATATTTTTATATTATAAAAAACTATGGCATTGATAAGATTTTAATTCTTACTTTTTAATATCACAATTAAGATTCTTAAGAACTCATAATTGAATTTTCATACAAAAACTTCTACATACTCCTATGTTCTCATAAATGATTGTTTACATTATGGCAATAGATACACAAACAAATGTACTAAGTCCAATTAAGAAAGAAGTTACACTTATATTTAAAGTTATAAAATATATCTAATTTTAGTGTTATTTTAATATTAAACATGATAAAATTAGCATACCAATAGTTTTTGAATAGAATGGGATATTTGATTACATGTGTGTAATTATTTCTATATTTAATTTAAATATAAATAAAATTTTATCTATAATGTTTTGACCTATGTAGTAAAAAAAAGATGGAATTTTCATTGTTATAATTTTAAAATGTATAGTATGCATATAATCAATATACTGAAATTTTTATCAATACTTATTAGAAATAATACATAAATATACTAGAATGTTTAAAAATATGATTTGTCATATATTATACATACTAAAGATAATTATATTTACTTATAAGCATCTATCTAAAGCACCAACTATTTCTTTATAAATCCATCTATCTATGAATACATCTAGATTTTTAACCATAAGATTAGCCAATTCTTGCCTCATTTAAATGTCACAATAAAAAAATAAAAAAAAAGTAAAGAATGAACTACACTCAACATATAAGTCTTATATCAAGAACTACACTTTTTATCATATCATGTGTTGTCCACTTTGCAAGAGACACATGACATTCTTCTATTAATAATTTTTTGTTGTGATGCTATTTTAAAGAATAAATTCCTTCACAACAATTAATTTTTTCCTCTTTAAAAACATTTAGAACTCTATTACTTTAAGATATGTTTTTAAAGTTAAAACAAGGTGTCCTATTGCTAATATATACATATACTTATATATTCATATAATCTTTTTTTAGATTACTTGAAATATAAATAAAAGAAATAAAAATTATATACAATAAAAATATAATGTCTATTTGAAAAACTTGTCTGCTACAATCCATTTATTAAGAGTCAATTTTGAAAATTAATATTAACATCATATTTAAAGCATTGAATAAACATTTATGGGCTTATATATATATATATATATATATATATATAAACAAAGAGAGAGAGAAATGTTAAAATGACCTACCCATTTAGTAAATCAATCCACCCTATTGTAACCATCATTAGAAAAATGACCCTTCTTCCAACCTCCCTCTTTTTTAAGTCCTTAGTCCCTATGTTCCCAATCTTCTTCATCCCACCCCCCCCCCTCTTCTCCTAACCTTATTCCCAACTATCCTTGTAGTTCCCCTTATTCTCTACAATAGGATAGGTCGATTTTGCAAATAAGTGGGTCATTTTAACATTTTATATATATATATATATATATATATATATATATAAAAACATATATACATACACACACACACACACACACACATATATATATATATATATATATATATATAAATAATTTAAATAAATTACTGATATCATTTTTTACAAATCTATAAATAAAAATGGTAGAAGAAAAACCTAAAAGAAAATTTTGATACATGTTCAATCTTCTCAAAAAAATTCAATCACTTTAGTTTTACTTATTTTTTTCTTCACATATATATATATATATATATATATATATATATATAATTTAAATAAATTACTGATATCATTTTTTACAAATCTATAAATAAAAATGGTAGAAGAAAAACCTAAAAGAAAATTTTGATACATGTTCAATCTTCTCAAAAAAATTCAATCACTTTAGTTTTACTTATTTTTTTCTTCACATATATATATATATATATATATATTCCTAGTATGTGTGAATTTATTTTATTATATATATATATATATATATATATATATATATTCCTATTATATGTGAATTTATTTTATTATATATATATATATATTCCTATTATGTGTGAATTTATTTTATTATATATATATATATATATATATATATTTTTTTTTTATTGTAACAAACACACGTTACCAGAATCTCAATGCCATGAATCACACGGTAACTTTAGCTTTTTCAGAACAAAAAAGTATCACATAAAAGTATCGGCACGACGTTATGGAGGCTCGCGGTGGGGCTCAAGTCGACTCAATAAAATAAAAGGCGGCGCAAGACACACCACGATTCCTTCCTTCCTCAGATCTCCACGACGCTCACTCAGATCCGTAAAGCTCTAATCACTCCTCCATCGCCACGTCGATCGCATGGGATGCATCCAAAAAAACAAACAGACCCGAAAACAACACACCCTCGCAGGTCGAGAATGACAATGTGCACCTCTTCTTGAGGGGCGTCGCACAATCTGTGAAGTGAGTGTTGGATGCTGCCTGCAACATCGTGGTGCGGCCAGAAAAATATCCCATCGGCCTCTGCCGTGGCCTCGCCGATCACACAAAGTGTGTACCTGTGTTTATCGATTGCAACTCATTTTTCAGTTCGTCGCCCTTCTGAATGTAGGGCTGGTTCAGATCGTTGAGATGGAGCACGGACTGTGAAGCACATTCGTTATTGTAACGCAGAGTAGACATTTCATGAAAGTTTTGTTGCTTCCAGCAAGTGCTTTAGTTTTAATTTTTGCAAAGTTAGGTGGCATGATTTTGAAGCGCAAAACAGAGCAATCATGACTTTCGTCTTTATAATGAAGCGAAGAGATTAGTGAGAACTTGTTTGAGATTGAAGTCTGAAATTTCGATACAACGAGAGAGACGTTGGTCTTTTGCTACCATATGCCTGTCATGCAATCACAATTGCACCTCTACCAAGTCTGAGACTAGTACTTCCTGAAGAACAGGGTGCAGCTTCTTGGTTCATGAGCGTCAACCATGAACATGCTACTTGGATACGGTGTGTCGAGATTCATACGGTGAAATGTTTGTGGGGCATGGTGAGGAGGGATTTGTAGTTGCCATCAAACTGTCTCTCCTTGCTCTTCTCCTTAGGTGCGGTGTAGCCTATCGCTTCGTTCAAGTTGACAGCATTCTGATAGTCCCATGCTTCAGACACGTTCACATTTTTCAGATTTGCTTGAAAGAAGTTAGTTCTCGTGAGCCTTGCCTGTGTTAGAATAGCTGTACCACCTTCTCTTCCTTTGGAAGAAAGGTTTGCCTCCGTTAAATTTGCCTCAGTGAGATTAGCTTTCCTAAACTTTGCTCCGCACATATCTGCTCGAGTCAGATTCGCCTTGTAAAGGTCAGCGTCATCGAATTCCGCGCCAACCAGACTCGCATTGCGAAGGCTTGCATTCTGGAGGCACGCTCCCTTCAGTTCTGCATCCTTCAGGATCGCACCGTCCAGCACCACTCCAACCATCTCCGATCCTAGAATATTGATTTATAGAAAGCAACATAAAACCTTAAATCTACTAAATTATGTAATTAGCAAAATTAACGTGAACAGATAATTAAGTTTCATTCTGAAAGTGCTGTGATTGTGTGACTTGTGGATAATTTGGAGTGGTCTCAAATGTAAGACAAATGAGGTCATTCGCGCAAAAATTGCGTGATCATACCTGTGAAGTCGCAATAGTGAAGCATAGCGTTTTTGAAACTAGCTCCAGTAGCCTCACAGTTTTCGAAACTCGCATTCATGAGGTACGCATTGTCGAAGGTAGTGTTGATCAGTTGAGCATTACGGAAATCTCCCTCTCTTAAATCTAGATTGGACAAGTTCAATCCTGAGAGATTCACTCCTCTCACACGCACACCATGCTCATGTTGCTGCAATTTTATTACATCCAGGCGACTCAACTCAGGCCTCGCCATCCGGGCGATCTGGGATGTAATCGACGAAGCAATCCTCACTTCCTTGGCTGCTCCCGACTTCGCACGGACGTCTTCACGTTTCTTACCTGACGTCAGTAACACAGCCTCTACCAAACCCGACAGCATATAATACTCTGCTTCTCGAAGAATCTCATGGTATTCTGGTGTCTCCAGCTCAGGCGTGACGACGCCATCGCGAAGCCAGTTAAGAACGTGCCTGAAATGTGTTCCATCCCGATCAATAAACATGCACCCATCTTCATCTCTCAGGACCTTGCTCTTCTCGTGGCGCTGAGTTGTCATCACAGCAAGCACTGAGTGTGTGTCTCTCTTAGTGAGGGTGCTGACCGTGGTAACGAACTTCATTCCTCCAACATTCAACGTCTCAAAGTCATGCTCGTCCGCCTCGTCTGAAATATCCTCCAATGGGGGCATATCAGACTCCAGCTCGTCTGCCATTTCTTCCAACCAGCCCACTCACAGAAATCGATTCCTCGAAGCTGTACTAACAATCTACACCGCAACAGCACAACGACCCCCAAAATCATCCGCAATTCCGAGAGAAAGACTCACCGAATTTCACCATCAATTATAGCAACAAAACAGCGACCACAACAACCAAGAGAAGCGGGTTGAAGAGTTGCTGCGAAGGCCGGGGCGAAAAGGAAAGCGACGCCGTTTCGCATGATCTTCACTGATTACCCAAGATCAATTCCCCTCGTATATCAAATCCCAATCACCATCATTCCTCGAACAGTAGCACTCGCTTTACAGGATCTTCGTTGGCTGGAACGATGATTGGGTGTCAACCTCGAAACTTGTCCACGTCCACCGCGACCTCGTTGGAAACGCGAGCAGATCCATGAGGGAGAGTGGCACGACGCCAGCCGAAGCACGAAGAAACGTCGACATCCCAACGAACCAACCACTTGTATGCAGCCATAGTCTCAGCAGCATCGAGCAACGTCCTCAGGTTCTTCATCACGATCGGTGGTGAACCCAAAATTTTTATCTCTCGCCTCTCAATCTCTCCGTCGTCGTCGCGCCTCCCTCTACTGTTTAGCGGCCTGGAAGACTTCCGCCATGGGATTCAAACCCTCACCAACCCGTTCCCACGGTGGGGATACATGCCCTGAAAAACTAGTGTGTGTGAGAGTAAGTGTGTGTACACTAGGATCCTATAAACTTGATTGTATTAGGATTTTGCCAAATATTATATTTTTGTATTAAACGACATTCATCCAATGTTACAAACATAAATGCACCAAAACAAGGAAAAGACAACACTTTGTCAAACTTCAGTTGTATGTTGGATAAGTGCTAGCTTATGGTGCAATGCTTACAATACTATTCAACACTTCTCTTTCAGAAGTGGAACTTAGTTCTCTACCAAAACAAGACCTAACATATCTTTAGAAGCTAGAAAGTTATCTCGAAGAAGAGGTTTTATGAAGATATGTGCCATCATTTGCTTTATAGGTACAATACTTCAATTCAGTCTATTCTTTTTCTATGCATTGCTTGATGAAAACATATTCCATGTCCCAATGCTTCATTTGACCATGGTTTGTAGGATTATTAGTAATAACAATAGCATTTTGATTATCTTTATAAATAAAGAACTTTTCCAACTCAAGAATGTTATAATTTCTAAATATTTCATGAAGCCACAAAGTTTCCCTCATTATAGTGGCCAAAGCTATATACTCTACTTTTCTTAATGAAATAAAAACTAATGATTGGTTCTTGCTTGACCAAGTGATAAGTGTACTACCCAATAGGAATGCATAACTACCTACTCAACGACACATCTTTACACAACTTGTTCCATTTGCATCACAATAGCATACAAGTTGTAAACTTGCTCCTTTGCCTCTATATTGCAATACCAAAGCTTTTATTTCTTGCAAGTAACAAAATATTTGTTTTACCTATTTCCAATGCAAAACACATGGGTGTAGTATGTATTGAGCAAAGTATTGATAAACAAATGCAATGTCTTTGTATTTAAGCAAAACTTCTTATTTATTTATAATCTTTATATAGATAATTTCTTTTTTAAATTCTTAATTCACATAACATACTCTAATCAATAATAGCAACAATTCCAAAAATATATAAATTTTTACAAGAAGAAAAATTGATATAATAGTTTCTTGATAATCAAGACCCTTCACTTACATAAAATCTATTGCAATTGGACGTGCTTTAAATTCTTCATGGAATTATTATTAGCAAGCTTCTTTTTAAAAAACTATTTTAATTTTTTAGCCTTCTAGTTATTTGGTAAGATAAAAAATCCCATGTATTATGATCTTTCAAAGAATCAAGTTCTTTTTTCATAGCATGATTCTACTCTTTATTAAAGAATGTACTCATGGTTTGCTCAATGGTTTTTGATTCTGTATGTTCATCAACATGAACAATATATATTACTTCAACTAGCAAATCATAATTTCTTCAAATAAACTTATTGTCATTTTTTCAAGGCTTATAACATAACTTATTGTTACTTAATATGTTGGCTAGATTAATTTCACCTATGTAACATCTTTATAGTAGAACTTGAGTAATTGCCTCCACTTCTAATTAATAGAATTCTTCTACTTTTGTTATTATAGAACTTCACTTCTCACCAACCACTCTTCTATTAAATCTATTATATACATGTGATTCCAAGGCTTGATATTTAGGTGTTTTTAATCCCTATAAAAATTAGTAATTAAATAAATCAAGCTTGTTTTTGTAATCTCCATCTCTTCTATAATTTTCTTGAGAAGTTAATGGCTCATCAATTAACTCATCTTTGTCATAAAAAAAATAAAAAATAAATGACATCTTAACTAAGAATCATCTTCTTCTTCTCAAATAGAAAAAACTTATGTCTTTTTGCTATATCTAAATATCCAACAACAGTTCCTTTCTTTGTCTTTGTATCAAGCTATTGAAGTTTTTTTTTTTTTTTTTTTTTTTTTTTTGTATGTAATATTAAACAAGATAATCAAAATGACAAGCATATTCAATAGAATATTCATTGAGCTACTTTCATCCACAATCATTGTTCATCTATGGATCTTTTTTATCCACGGCTCTTGTTTATCCATGGCTCTAATACCATGTTACAAAAATAATATTGATTCAATGTTGCAAACAAAAATACGCACGAAGAAGAAAAGGGCAGCAGTTTGTTGAACTTTGATTAGGTGCTGGACAAGTCCTAGCTTGTAATACAATGCTTATGGTACTATTCAAAAAGTTGGTTTTAAATCATGCATAAGGTCCAAAGTTGGTGAATTATACAATAGCATTTATTATTTAATATTGGATCTTATTCTTGTTATTGATATTATTGATATTTTTCCATTAGAATAGAAAATATTGTGGTTAATATAATGGTTTGGACTGTGTGTGACAATGAGATGATTAAAAGGGTTAAAGCAAAATGTTTTGGAGCAATGATTTGTGAATTTTAGAAATGTGATGATTTGTGGTGAAATAGAAAAAATAAATAAATAAATAAATAAATAAAAATAGAGTTATGTAATTGAAAAAAAAGCTGTTTGAAGAATTTGATTAGAAGAATTTGAATTATGTACATTAAAATATATATATATATATATATATATATATATATATATATATAAGAGTTGGATATAATTAGGACAAATGGAGTCATAACAATTTCATTAATATTTTTTAGATATAACTTTATGATCAAATAAAAGTAAGACTGTTTGCAAATATCTATGCAATAGATCTAATACGAATCTATTCTATTGCATAGATATTTTAGATTCAATAAAAATTAAAATATTATATATAAAAAATAATGAAAGATTAAGAATAAAAAAAAATATAACAATATCATTTTAACATCTATTACCACCTTTGATTTTCCTTATGTAAATTATCAAAAAGATACAACCTTATATTAATAGAATGATATTGAAACGGATACTATTGAATATTATCAATTCTTGAGGTTAAATCATATAAATATAGAATAAAGTTACAGAGAATATTTTATTTTATTTTATTTATTCTTAGAATAATCATTCTTGAATTCAAAATTGTGTTCCACATTAAGAACATTGTTTTGTAAAAAAAAATAAAGGTTCCTTCAAAATTTTAATCCAATTGAACAACAACAGAAACATAAAAAAGAAATAAGAAAAAAAATCAATCCAAAACTCTAATTGGGAGGTCCGTCATTGGCCATATCTTATGTGCTGAAGGTCAAGGAGGTACATTTGTATACATATACTTACATTGTTCAAATGTACATCTAATTTGTAGAAAATTGTTATTAAGGTGATAATGTTAAGCACATTTACGTTTGCAATATGCAAATGTAAAATTAGTTTTAGCTTTATATAATAAGAACCATTTTTTTCATACAACACAAACACCCAATATTTTATGATTAAACTAAGTTCTAATTTTTTTTTCTCATTCGAAAATTAAAAATAGGATATCTGAATCAAAAACCACCACTGGAGGCTCGCACATCAATTCCCAAAATTCATCCAACTTCGGTGTTTTTTCGTCTAGTATGACTGGTTTTCAATTTGCACTGTTGGCTTAATTTTTTATTTTTTATTGATGCAAAGTTTAGATAGAAATATGTGCATGTGTATGTATATATATATATATATATATATATATCTGTGTATGTCAAAGTAATCAGAATCAAATATAAGCATAATATAATCTAAGATCTGAATATTTTTCTTTTCACTTCAATTCAATATAACTCAATATAGAAATTCTTATGTGTGTGTATAAATGTATATATACACACACATACATACACCAAACCGAGTGCAAATAATTTAGAAGGTATAATAAGCTTACATTTCCATATTTCATTGGGATCCCACACTACAAGATCTTCCACAGTGTGCCGTAGTGATTCTAAAGCTCCCGGCAAATCATCCTGGGACAATACACATGCATCGTTTAGAAATAACAACCACATATAATTAAGATTTGAAGCTACTATATTCTTAATTGATTGATTGATTTATTATCCTATTACACATATTCATATATCAACATAGTTGAGTTCCTTGTTAATTGAAAATCCAATAATTTTGTCACAACGAGATCTTTTAGTAGTGATAGAAAAACCTTTGGCAAATCGGAGAATATGCGACCAGCCTTGAGTAAATTTATGTTCACCTCTGATATCTGCAATTAATAGTCCACCTCACCCAAATTTAATTTGTTTATCATTAATTAAAACATAATAATCTTGCACTTATTAAAATTTTCTGATGATTCCAGCTTCTTTCACGTGAGAAAACGACTAGATAATTCTTTCTTTCTTTCTTTCTTTGATGCTGTATGTTACCAACCTACAAAAATTTGAAAATCAATAATATTTTTAGAGATTTCCCTCAAGGGAATTCTTTAGACAATTGGTCGGTTAATAGAAATCTGACCCTCATCATGTTTCAATTGACATGAAAGTAGCAAAATTCTTCAAACAAAATACCATTTGCCATTATTGCATATTACACTTAGAATTGTGATAAATTTCACTCAACATGAAAGTTTGAAATGAAAATTTCTACCATTTTTTGTTTATTTAATTTATTTTTCCCCCACATCCAAAACCATGGACCAGGTCAAGCACGAAAGGAGGTGACAAGTGGCAGCAACCTTGCGGATGACATGGACCCACCTTGCGGATGACGTGGAAGCCCTCGTGGACGTAGGGCCCCAGGTTGTCGCTCTTTACGAAGGTGCTCATCCACGCCGGCCACACTTTCATAGCGACCTGCACGCCCCAGCCCACGCCGTCACGGTACGAACCCCACCAGCAGCAGCGCGTCGAGGCGCGACGAGGCGCGACGGAGCGCGAGCGACGCAACTTGCAGGCTGTGATTTACCATTTCCGTGAAGGAGAGGACGCAGACGCCTTCCAGGATGGGTTCCAGCTTGCCTTCGCCACGCAGCGCCCTCACCACGTGCATAAGCACCGCTGTTTCTGCCTGTGGGGTGGGCACTCACGCAGCCAATTTTTCATTAGGTGGTGCTGCAGGGCGCGGATGCTAGCAAACTTGTGGGTGGAAAGGTGTTAGAATTGGGTTTTGATCGGATGCTACCTCGAGCATATGTAGGACGCAAGTTGGGTACACCATAAGAAAGCCGTACATTTTGGTTACCATGCCTGCACCTTTCATTACGGTCTCATGCCACTCTGCGCACCTAGTTGACATGAAGTCGTTTGTCAATGGGTGCGTGTACTCCAGTTCTTATTGGTTTCAACATATGCTTTGTTACCTGGAATTTGTTTTTTGGAGGCTATTGTAGAGTTTTTTTAACTTGACGTAGGCGATTGCAGCTTTGCTTTCGATGGTATCACTGGGTGGTTCAGGGTTCAATACCCCTTACGCGTTCCTTCGAGGTCTCTGGCCACTTTTCCGCAGGAATTTTGCCTACGTACAGCACGCGGCTTAAATTAGGTGCTCTCTGCATGATACCACCATCTTTGGCTGTGAGTTATGGTTTGTGACGTTGAATTTTAGGATTTCTCATAATGCAGGAAAATATAGGCTGGTGAATGGTTGATAGTTTGTTTCTTAGATTTAATTACATCGGTGGTAATCGATTTGGATTATAGATTAGCACAAAACTTGTAGCACTCGTGGTATTCGCTTGAAGAGCACAGCAAATTCGAGCGATGATTTGGAATTCAGAAGTTTTGTACACATCTCTCACATTGATCTCCGCTAATGTAGGACAGCAGTAACAAACAATCTGACCACATACAGATTGCTATTCTGATATCTAGGTTCCTTTTCCGAGAGACCTCAACGATGTTCTGCTTATCATCATTATTTCACAGGACGAGGCGTAATACATCTCCAAAGGTTAGCCGAAAAGTCAGAACTATTAACGTGTTTGGAGCGATGACAACCTTAAGAGCAGCGGCTTCTATGGTGGCGTCGAGCATGTTTTGTCTCGCCTGCATGATATTCGTTGTGATGTCATCGACTGCGGCCTGCGTGAGTGGAGGTTGGTTCGCCATGGGGCCTGTCTTGAAAATCAGGTAATACTATACTAATCGACCTAAAAATTATGCGTCTGAGAGGGACGAGACCATCTTTTTCGATTCAATTGACTTAGATATAAGGGCAATTTATAGGGTTCCTGAAGTACTGCACTCGTTTGCATCCAGGGTTTGTAGCGTATTTGGTAAGCATACAGTCTCTTGTGAAAGACTTATCAGCAAAGGAAACCGCCTTCAAATGAGTTCCTTACAATGTGAGAAGAAGAATACGACGCATATTGGTGGTTCTGTGTGTGACAGAATATTGAGAAACCTACACCTTTGGAAGCAGCGCTCTGAATGCATCTTACAATGCAGATTTCCGACAGAATAGCCTGAAATTGTCACTGCATATCTGGATGTCAAATAGAAAAGTTGATTGACATGGGATATATCGCAGAAGCCAGCTGTGTCGGTTTGTTTGTGAAAGGTCGCCCACATTTATAACCTTTTGGCTATGAAGAGCTCCAGCTCGAAACTGGCAGGGTTTTTCGCAACTTAACACCTGATCATGGTGGATGAATCCTCGCCCTCCCCTTCGCCCTCCCCTTCGACATCACCGGCAGGTGCTTAAATTTTTTGTCTTTGTGTTTTCATATCTCAAAATAGTAAGTAGTTTTCCAACTGAGGTTTTTGTGTGGTACTATTGTTCTTCTTGTAACACAGAAAGATCACTCTTGTTACTAAAATCATGTTATTGCTCACAGGCTTTCTATTTATATGAAAATGGCTGAGAAGAATGGCTTTATTTCTGGGGAAGAAAAGGTCTTTGTTGCCCTAGATTCGGCTGCCGCTGCTGGCGTATCCGGTGCTTTTGATATCTCTTGTATTTCTCTGTATATCAGATAAGCTTGGTTGAGACTATTTGATGTCGCAGGAAAATTCCGGGCTTGCACTGCATTCAACTTGAAACCAGATCCATAAGTTTTGATTAACCTTGTCTTGAGCAGTAGCTGGGGATGCTGCGTCAACTTTAGGGTTTACTCCTGAGTTATGGTTTGATCCCAAACTGGAGGTATACCCTGTTTCGCTTTGTGTCCTTTAAAGATGGACACCACGGTTAACATGTGCTTTAATCAAGTCTTCCCACATGATCTTAGTTTCCATGTCCACATACTTCTATGTCTTGCATTGAAGGATCGCTACGATGCTCTCTGGCAATTTCATAATAAAGGCACTGAACTCACATCATCTTTTTAGACATTGTCGGTACCATTCATATGTGTACCTGCAGCCCACAGGCATCGGCATCTGGATGGCCTGTGTAACACATTATTTACTTGAGCATTTTAAGCTCGTATTTCGGGTCTCTGTTTTCTGAAAGTGGCCAATCTCATACTCAACTTCCGTTCCATCCTGAATCAATCCAGAAGTTTGCAGGAAGAACTAGCAGCAAATGAAGCTGCAGAGAAGATGGAGATCAGGGTCGTGCCTGTGAGAGAGTACTTGGTAAAGGGAATACCCCAAAATGTCAGGATGTAGATCGTGAGTCTCTGTGTGATACCAAGTTCAAATAGGATCTCACAAAGCCATTCACTGAGTATCTGGACCTCGTGGAAAGAATAAGATTATTACGGTTACTTCTGACTGTTTTTGCCTCTTTTCTTAAAGATTTCAGAATCTGTTCGAGCATGAAGCTAGATTACTGTTAATATGATCTGTTGAGCAGGAAGCTGCCGTGATTCCATTGCTGCTCCATGGTTTGCAGCTACTGGCGACCGAGAGGTACGTTCATAAGCATCCTTTGTCATGCCATCTGAAAGACACGCCACAAGTTTTTCATTTCATGTGGCACGCAAGTTAAGTTCTCATCGTTCAGTTTGCTCTGTCCATTTATTTACTCTTGTGCAAGGTAGTGGAACAACCAGTGTAGGTCACTACGCAAGATTGCGTTGTTTTTTCAAGCGGTTCTACAATATTCACTTGTGTTCATTAATGCTACAAGTATAGCGTATCCAATTCCGTATTAAAGTTTGATGTTGTGGCATGACTGAGTGGTGTTCAGTTTTATAATCGAACAGTGTTAAAATTCTGACGTGCTCATGGTTTGCAATGCATGAATTATTTCAAAAACTTCGATCTCGTTTGTGATACATTCAAAAACGAGAGTCGAGAGCCCTGAATACCAAGGGTGTATTTGGTAGACCATGATTTCAGTCACCATTCAGAAGATTAGACATTTCAGGGTGGCTTGGAAACAGCATTTCTTTCAGATTGTTTTCAAATCTACACGGTGGCCGTTGCAATGGGTTGCTACCTTTTACTGTCCTAGTCCTGTGCAATGTTTTTTCATTTAAATCTGGTTTTCTTGGGCACAATTTTCTGTTGTGCTAGTTGGCTATCCTTCTGCCTTGAAAAAGGTGGGTACAAGGTCTGGAGCAAACTATTCCGAATCTTATGTGTGCAATGGTCATTTCAGGCCGGACAATCCAGTTGATTTTGTAGCCAAATACTTGATAGAAAAGAACCCTATGGACAAGAAGGATCTCTTAAAACTGGGAAAGGAAGTAGACTAGGAGAAGAAAGGTAAGAAACCTAAGGAAAGCAACCAATACCAATTATCCGTGGTGTTCATGCACACAGATTAGACGGGTCTGAAAGACTTAATTGGCTTCAGAGACTGATTCGACTGTAATTTCGGCCTACGTCTCTGGGTACTGAACTCTGATTTCAGCAGGAGGAGAGGACGACGTCCCACAGCGGAAAAAACATAAAAACCGATGTCCCTTGGACGCGCAATTGAGTTCTCAATTGAACCTGTTCTACATTAATGAACTAGGGTTTTGAAGCAATTACAAAGGTTGGCATTATAATCGATGTCGGTGTAATAGTTGATGAATGCCCAGAAGTTTGAAAATCCAAGCATTCTTGTGGATGGCGAGAGAATCCTTCTAGCGACAGGACGTCCAGCTGCTTGGGTCTTCTCGACCGACGATGAGGGGAGACTTCGGTAAATAGATTGTGTACTGGTCACATGGTAATGTGCGTCAAACGTGCTGGCACCTGTAATATCTCAGTCATCGCATGCGGAGAGTCATGCAGGTCACTGGGACGATCTGCGTCTGCGAAATTATAACCTCTTTTGTCGCAGAGGGTAGCTGTAAAGCTCCGCTTGACCCACTTCCGGACAAGTGAAGCGCTTAAAAAGGAAGAGTCAATATCGCACATTCTCAAACGGTCCTTTCAAACCTTTTCGAACGGCCCATTCCCCGTTTGAAATCCGTGAAGCGACACTCCTGGATGGTCATAAGTTCCTTGTTCACACACTCGCCATTTCCGCGCCGCCGGTTGTGGCATCAAGATCTCGACAGGCCCACCGTCTCGTGTAATTGCATTCATATTCCTGAACACATTTAAATTTGACTGCCGTTCTGCCTGGACCGACAGGGCGTAACTTTCTTCTTCCTGGATGATTTCCCTTGCGCTCGATACATGTTCAAAGAAATCGGCATTACCCCGCATTCACCGATTACTATTTTAGGTAGAAACACGCAGGCTAGTTGTATCTAACCATGCAAGATTCCAGGTCTGTGGTTGGGCGATCGCGACGTCAGTTGTTGGGGTTCGTTTCTGAAATTTTAGCCGTTGATGATTTCACCATCTCCATCGGAAGTTTCGGTTCGTGGTGTTCATTGGTATTCTTTTGGGAAGGTAGCGGCTGTGTGTAATGCTCGATATTAGCATTTTATTTGGGTCATCAGGGAAGGAGAGTGGTGTCGTGGTGGTGAGGTAGGCGGTGCACGATCTGACTTGTGATTCCTATTTTATATTGATCGAACTCCGCCTCTGCTACTCCAGTTAATGTAACACCCATGAGTTCATCGTGTATTCTTGCAGTGGGTCGAGTCTCTTCTGTGTCTGATTTGCAATGGAATAATCACTACAGTCCATCATAACTGCCTGATGGTTAGCAACTGATTCGACCGTGATCAGGCTTTCGTTCTTAGGATACACTTCTTCTGGGAGACAGCTTACGTGTTTTAGGATGCGTTTTCTTTTCTATTGACATCTTGAATAATTGAATCGATCCGCCGACACGTGTAAGTAGATTTAAGTGCCGTGTCAGCTAGAGCAATGTGCATCCAGTCTCTTCGCATCCTCACTGCCTGCTTGCTGAAATATGCTCTCCGTATTTGTGGTCTTCGCAGCGATTTATCCCCACCCTTGAGCGCTTTTTATGTTGTCAAAACTTCAATAGATGCCCTTTCAATCTTCCTCATGCGTGGAGATTAACTACCATCCTGCTTGCCTCCTTTTGATTCATCAGGTAGATATTATTGTTCCTACCAGCAATGTCTATGGCGGCGTTGGCTTCAACCTTTGCCACTGGCTCTATCGCCTCTTGTCAAGTAACCCGTAAACCTCCGACATGGAAGGATGCAAGACTGTCCAGAACAAATGCCCTCCCCTTCGCCATGAACGGGGCTGCGCGCAGCATATCCCAAAACCTCAAAAGCGCCGTAGCATGCAGAAAAAAGTATATAGTTCCTCCAGGTCAGGCGCGCTGCACTCTTGCAGCTGATGTGTACACCAAGGATCAGATTGACTGCCCATCTTGCAAGGGACTCAAACGCCCTGACTTCTTCGGAAGATATGGCGTCTATGGAGGAATGTACGTCCCTGAGACACTCATGACTGCTCTAAGCAACTTGGAGACAGCATATCGTTCTACCATCAACGACACAGAATTCAAGGTGAGATGCTTTTTCAAGGTCTCCGCCATCATCTAGACGACTTACTCTCTTGCTCGCCATCTCTTGCTGCGAGTCTTACAGCAGACCCATGGTGTTTCCCGTCGCTGGTTTTGATGTATGAATGTGAAGAGATAATATGGTCTTGTTTCCTCGCGCAGAAAGAGCTCAATGAAGTACTCAGGGACTACGTTGGCAGGGAGACTCCATTATACTTTGCCGAACGCCTCACCGAGCACTACAAACGTGATGGGAAAGGCCCTCTGATCTTTCTAAAGAGGGGGGATCTGAACCACACTGGCGCTCATTTGATTAACAACGCCATTGCCCAAGCTTTATTAGCGAAGCGAATTGGAAAGAAGCGTATCATTGCTGAAACAGGGGCAGGGCAGCACGGCGTTGCCACTGCCACTGTTTGTGCTCGCTTTGGAATGGAGTGCATTGTTTACATGGGAGCTCAAGATATGGAGAGACAAGCCTTGAACGTGTTTAGAATGCGTCTCCTTGGAGCTGAGGTACGGAATCCATTAAGTTTTTATAGACTTTCAGTGGAGAGAGTAACTTGACCTGGGTACTGCTGTTCTTGCGTAGCGCCCTGGGTGTTTTGTATTCTTCGAAATTCAGACGTCGTTTCGTTTCGTCCGTTAGTCGTTGGAATCTAGGTATTTTTTGGAACCGTAATCAAGCAATCTTCGTTGTTACTCGCAATTTAGGTTCGTCCTGTGAATTCTGGAACTGCGACTTTGAAAGATGCAACCTCTGAGGCCATTCGCGACTGGGTTACAAATGTGGAAACTACTCACTACATTCTGGGCTCTGTTGCCGGACCTCATCCTTACCCGATGATTGTGCGAGATTTTCATTCTATGATTGGCGCAGAAGTTCGCCTTCAGGCAATGGAGAAGTGGGGCGGTAAGCCCGATGTACTTTTAGCTTGTGTTGGGGGAGGCTCCAATGCAATGGGGTTGTTCCACGAATTCATCGAAGACGATAGCGTCCGCCTTATTGGTGTAGAGGCAGCTGGTTTGGGTGCTGATACCGACAATCACACAGCCACGTTGACCATGGGAGCAGTTGGTGTCTTGCACGGCGCTATGAGCTATCTGCTGCAGGATGCCGATGGTCAGATCATTGAACCCCACTCTATCAGTGCCAGGTAATCATCTATCATGAACGATCCTTACATTCCGCTGAGCCTGGCCAACTTCGGAGTCCATCGTGCATTGTGCTCTGCATGTACCTGTCAGGATTAAATGCCGTGCCCAATACTTGCGTCGTGATCGTTTGTCAGTTCACCAAGACAATTGTGTTTCAATCAGCTAACTTATTTTTTTATTTGACACCGGGAGTTCGTGGTACGCAGCTTGGATTACCCAGGTATCGGTCCCGAACACAGTTTTCTGAAAGACGTTGGTCGAGCTGAATACTACAGCGTTACTGACGATGAAGCCCTTGAGGGTAAGAGAGAACAGTAGATAGTCTTCTCGACTTATCATTCTGTTTTGTGGACCCTGCCTTTTCGTTTTTGCGAGGTCTAAGCTAGCTTGTAATCCCTCGTCATTAGGGTCTGATTAAGGTGGCCTCCTCATGTCACCGACTGTATTCCCTGGAGATTGAATTTTCTGAAGAATGATTCTTTGCCTTTGGTAGTCTTCCTTTAAAGTTCGTCTTTTCGTATTGCAGCATTCCAGAGGCTGTCAAAGCTGGAGGGCATCATTCCAGCATTGGAAACCTCCCACGCTCTGGCCTACTTGGACAAGCTCTGCCCCACACTTGAAGACGGTGCCCGAGTGGTACTGAATTGCAGTGGCCGTGGTGACAAGGATGTCAGCAGCGTCATCGGGTATCTAAATGGAAAGCACTGAACTTGTCGACAAAGTCACGTGCCGTATAGCCAATCTGTAGGGAACGTCTCGTTTCGGCTGGTTGTGCTCTCCAAATTTTGTTAATGTAGGCTCCCTCGGCCTCCTAGAGAACGGCTGTACAGTATCGGCTGTCACCAAGCTTGACAAGCCATTGAATACATCGAACTATTGCCAGGAATCAATTTGCTTTTGTTCCAGATCACTATGTGGGTACTTGGTTTACTAGTTTCAGTGATCCTGAACGTGAGAACCGAACGTAGAATGTTGCGTTCGGCTCACGATTTCAGTGAACTAGCGCGCTTGTTCTCCATCGGAAGGCCGTGTGTCTGGCTGGCTACATCAGAACTAGATGCTACAAAGCATGGTTGTGATTGAACAACCCAACATCCCGTTACTTCTATTCTTATTATTTTCTTAAGTAAAAACAATTTAATAAAGCATCACCAACAATATATTCCAATCAAGATATAACATAAGACTAGTCATGAAAGGGAAGAGGAAAGAAAGTCTTTCAACTATTCAGTTTCATTCTGTACATATATTTGTACATTATATGGAGTATAGAATCGCCTCCAGGTCGACCTTTGTTAACTTTTGAAGAAATGAACAGACTATTGTGGAACTCATCAAGCATGCATTGTGATAAATGAGTTCACCCAGAGACTGTGGTTTTGCAAACTTAATTCCTTTTCGAAATTGTGAATAGTTGATTCAAACCTCAACCCACAAGTCAAAGTGTATAGAATAGAAATTAATTCGTTTTTGAAAGATATTGGTAAAATATATTAATAATCTATATAATAAGAAATTCAGGAAGACGGATGAGTGATTTAGTTCTTAAAAGCGGTTAATTACAGAATTACGGTTAGAATCTGGAGAATCAGGGGAAAGTATATAGGAGTTGTAGAAGTTAATTACGGGTGCCAGACTGTGATAGTCATGAGCCGAGGGCCATCATTGTGATAGTGTGAGCCGGGGTAAGTTTGGTGCTACCTCTTTTCTTTTGTTTGTTATTTTCTTTAAATAAGAGGATTGAGAGTTTCTGAATATTTTGAAGTGAATTATGGAATGGAAATGTGATTGATATTATTTGAGAAGAAGAAAGATTGAATGTTGAAATTTGATTGTAGTTCAGCAAAGAAAATGAGTCTCTGTTTGTGTGAAACACCATAATGTGAATGGCAGTTCTGTGTGAAGAATTCCAATGATTGGAATGAGGGTAATTGTGTACTGAAAGCTAAAAGGGCGCAGTATTACAGTTGGAGATTATGAGGGTGAATATAACTGCTATTTCCACTAACTCTCATGGCTAGGAACTTCCATTCTCAAGCTCAACACAACTCCAGTCGCAGAACTTTAGAGGCGGAAGATCTGGTGGCCTCCTTGCTTTTATTGCTAAATATTTTGCTGCTCTGAATTTGGTTGTATGGGGTTTGACTCATCCTGAAAGCTGGACATGTCCAAATTGCTGCTCCTGTTCAAAAATTAGGGGCGTGGGGCAGAAGCAATATAAGGTTTGAACTTGATGTACGAGCTTCCAGCACAAATCTGTTGCGGTAGTATTGATTTGAACTGCATTACAAAACGTTCATTTTTTCCTTGTTTTACGATGAACTGCAATAGAACATCTACCTGCAAAACACACGCCAACTGAAGAAATACTTAATTGAGATTGGAGGCTGAAACGTCGATGTAGCATGAGCAACTTTCATAGTTGGTTTCAGAGGTCCAGTTTACATTCGAAATAGTAATTCTGGTTCTGTTACTACTATGGTGACTGGCTGTTTGAACAGCGCTTAACTTGGGTAAGATATTTCTAAATTTATCAGTGTTTTCTGCTGGCCCGCCTACCCGGCTGGTGTATAGCCTATCGCTGTACTCAAATTGATGGCACTCCGGTAGTCTACAGAGTCCTTGACATTAACATTTTTCAGATTTGCTCGAAAGAAGTTCACTCTAGTGAGCCTTGCTTGTGTCAGAATAGCTGGACCACCGTCCCAGTAGCCATGTTTTTCATGCAAGTCTGCATGCGACAAGTTTGCTTCGGTAAGGTTGGCATTTCTAAACGATGCTCCCACCAACCTTGATCTCGACATATTTGTCTTGGAAAGGTTAGCGCCATCGAATGTCGCGCAACTTAGATTAGCCTCGCGAAAGCTTGCATTCTCAAGGCGTACTTCATCAAACTTGGCATTCTTTGAATGCGTACCGTCCAGCACCGCCCCAACCATCTCCCCACCTGGAAAACTGAATCTCGTAAGTGACGTGAATCTCCTCATTCTACTAAAATTTTTGGACAGTAAAATGAAAAGTGTTGTTACCACAGTTTCGCGGATAATTTCGATCACCTACAAAAATGTCATACACTAACAAATAAGCAAAAGGTACGGTAATTTCAGGAAGCTGAATTTACGAATAAACTACGTGTAATACTCCAGGTTTAACCACGCACCAGATCATTTGAGATCTGAATTGCAACCAACGTTTCACTTTACTGGAAATGAGGTCGTCGCAGCAAAACAATGCAAGATTGTCGTACCTGAAAAATCGCAATTCAGAAGTCTTGCTTTTCTGAAATTAGCCCCAGTTGCCTCACAGCTTTCGAAGTTTGCATTTTCGAGGTCGGTAAAGGGGAATTTAGTATTGATGAGACGGGTATTTCGAAAATTTCCGCCACTTAAATTGAGACCGGACAGGTTTAGACCCGAAAGATTCGTTCCTTGCAACCGCAGTGGACCATGCAGCAATTCGATTACATCCCGGCGACTCATTTCAGCCTCTCCCAAGTTAATGCTGTTGTCAACTTTCTTGAAGGGCGGTGTAAACTCATCAATCCACTCAACTTTGCTCGTTCTCGGCTGCGTGCTGTTGCCTTCACGTTTCTCAGTCAGAATCGATTTGATAGCGTACACTAAACCCGGCAGCCTGTAATATTCTGCTTCTTGGAGAAGCTCGTGGTAAATGGACGTTTCCATCTCTGGAGTGATGGCGCCATCACGAAGCCAATTCAGAATGTGCCTGAAGTGCGTTCCATCCCGATCTAAAAACATTTCTCTCGCTTCATAGCCCTGAGTCTTTCTCTTCTCCTGAAGTTCGCTAGCCATGACAGCCAGGGCCGAGCCTATGTCTCTCTTGGTAAGAGTACTCGCCGTGGTGACAAATTTCTTCCCCCCGACGTCTAACCTCTCAAAGCAATCCTCGTCTGCCATACTGACCAACTCTTCCGAATCCAAAACTTGTTCAATCCAATTCTCTATTCCGAATGCGCACCTCGCAACAACTGAAAGAAAAGCACACTTACGAACTCAACCATTGGACACAAGCATACGCAGACCAGCGAAAGGGAAGTAATAAGTTTCTTGCTGCGGATCCAGTGCAAGGATACGCAGTGGATACTTGGCCACGTGAACTTGATTGAAAATCAGAGATGGACGCTCATGACATGTCAAGTTATGATCGCTACGATCCCTCCTCCCAGCTTATTTCGGCCTAACGAAAGCTTCGCATTGTGACTCGCATAGTGAGAAGATAATTACAAGGTCACAGCTCACAATCTGCGGCGCCCGCCCATCGCGTGCATGTGATCATCACCACTATCCCCTCTCGCCCACGCTCCACTTGGTGAAAAGCCATCTGGGTCCGATCGCTACTTAAAGTAATAAATTTCCCCGGTGCCTTTGGTGTCTGTGAGTTGCAAAGCATCCGTAGGCGCGGCGCATCTCCTTCCTTCCAGCAATCTGCGAGTGAGAAACAACGCGGGGCCTGAAGAAATGGAGCTTGATTTCCACTTCTTGTCAGGCATCTTCGTGACGCCGATGACTCTCTGGCACCTTGTGCCGCGCCTTTGCGTCATTTTCATTCTGCCGCCAAAATCATTTCGAAAAAAAGGGAGGGGAACGTTCAAACAAATTAAAACATTACTCAATTGTTTTTAATTATTTATTTATTTCAAGTATTTAAATAATATAAATAAAATTTGAAATTCAACAAAACCCCAGCAAAGACTAATTTCTACCTCCCTAGAAGAAGCATTTAGGGCCTTGTTGTTACACTTTACACAAAAAGAGGGACCAATGTTGGTATATATATACATATATGCATTACTGTGCATCCAAATAAAAATTATATAATAAAAATTATGATTAAATGAGTATAAATCATATTTTTATTTTATTTACTAAAAATAACATATATTTGTCAACATTTAGTTTTAATTGAGTTGTTTTGTGCCTTACAATATGTTTGATCAATATTTTTTTGGATCACTTATTCAAACTATGAAAGAAAAAAATTTGATGTTTTATATTTATTTAGATCAAATATAAATTTTTTCATGATAAATATAATAGATTCTAATTTAAATAATATAATAATATAATTAATTAGAAATAAATTATAAGTTTGGAAAGAACCATTTATTTACTTTTAGTCAATAAAGTTTAAATATTTTTTAATTCTTTTTTTTATATCTCACATGAATTAATCTTTGTTAACTTTGTAATTATTTTAAATCTATATTTATTTAAAATATATTTTTTATACATCCAATTATTAATATAAGAATAAGCATTTCTAAAAAAAATTAAAAACCTAAAATGAATTAACAATATATATATATATATATATATATATATATGTTAACACATATTATGTTAAGAAAAACTATGTAAATCGAATTAATTAATTAGGATTCTTGCAAATTGGCTCTAAAACTTTTTTTTATTGATTTTTAATTTTTTAATTGAATTGATTATGAATTTTTTAAAATAATGTGTTTTTATTTATTTATTTTTTTTATGTACTATTATTTTAGCTATATGGTTGGTAAGTCTTTGTGGGAAAACTCGATAAAAATAGTCTCTCTAATAGCCTAGGTAGCATGTCATACAGTACAGCTTCTTTTGGAAGCTGACAAAACAAGCTATTACATAATTCTTCAATAAATTTCTAGCTTTCAAATTAACATTATCAAATGCATGCTGAAAACCATCTTTAATCCTATCAATTCCTTTTACTAATTCTGTCTAACACGTAACACATAATTTGAATTTTCTTTTTTTTAATATTTTAGAATCATATATAGATTTTATAAAATTGGTGATATATATATATATATATATATATATATATATATATATAAACCAGAAGATGAATAACTTAAAATCCATATACTTCATATTTTTAAAATTATTCATGTGTATTGAATCTATGAAGTTAATCTAGATTATATTTAGTTATGCTTAGACTTACTAATTCTATTCTATTTTATATTATTACTTTACAATAAATATCTTTTTCAATATTATAATCATTGATGTTATTTATAATAAAGGTTTTATTCATGTATAAAATACCCAATAACATTTGTGCTATAATTATAAAAACAATTAACGTTTTTAGTGATTATATATATATATATATATATATATATGTATGTATGTATGTATGTATGTATGTATGTGTGTGTGTGTGTGTTTATATAGATACATTCATAATAAAATAAAAAAACTATCAACACCAAATAAGATGATTCTTTCTACATTATCCTTTTTTTATTACAGAAACATGATACTAATGTATGTCTTTTTTTGAAAGAGTATTCATGGTTTTATAAATGCAAGTCAAATCTTTAATTTATGTCCAAGATTTACACATTTGGATATAAATAAGAAATATAACAATACTTTAAGTATAAACACAAGATCATATATATATATATATATATATATATATGTATGTGTGTGTGTGTGTGTGTATATATATAATAATAAATAAATAGTGAATGATCTAAAGTTTTTCTAAAGATATTGAATTTCTTGTTAGAGAATATTTAGTACAATACATGGAATAAAATTTGTGTTAAAAATTTGAAAAAATTTGAAATAAAATAAAATAAATAACTCTTTAACTTCTTTAATACTGAAAAACAGATTCTGTAGAATTTTAAAACATTTCTGATAAGAAAGATACTTTCAAGCCTAATTATATAAATCTACATTAGAATTTTATGACTTGTATAAAACTTATTAGAGATAGTGTAACAAAAGAAACTTCACAATCATCTTCAAAAAATAGATGAATAATATGTTTAGTTTATATTTATCAAAGCTTGCATTAAGTGACATAAATACATACATACATATAAATAAATCCTTGAAACTTAAGAATCATCTGTCATTGTTGCTTTGAATCTCATCAAAGACATTTTTTTATAGGAATGGTTGTATCCCAAATGATACATTGTCACCATTTTCTATAATTTACAGTACAAAAATGAATGTAAAAATACTTACTTTGTCAAAAGTCAAGTTTAGGGAAAGGATTATTGGATGTCTAATACAATGCCTGTGTTTTTTATTAGAACATATTTCATAACTAAGAATATTAAGAAATAATGTTACATTTATATCAGATCCAGTCGCCTCACTCTGGGTGCAATCCGCATTCTGAAGGCTGGGTTTCGGAGACTGTTGATCAATGGTTTAGGGTTTAGGATTGCGAAACACAAATTCAGTTTCATGACCGAGAGCCTCCCTACATTTGACCTTTGAGTAGATTAAATGAAATTCCTCCTGCATCTAACCTTCACGTACCTGTATCCATGACTATTGAGTCGTCGTGTGTGTTCAGGAGCTCGAGGATTGTTCAACGAAGCTGCACGCAAAAAAATTCTCCCCATATGAAGTGACCTCAAGGAATGGACGAAAAGGGAAATGCTGCACTGCATGTCCAGCTCGTTCACTCTATACTGCAGCATCTCCATGAGGGGAATTAAGATTGCTGGCACATGTATGCTTGCGAGTGACATTCATTTGACAGCCATTGTCAGATGAATTTAAGTTTCTATGACGTGGAATCTATTGAATAGTGGACTTGAGAGCGTAATCATCTGTTCATATATGATTAGCATTGAACACAAATCTGCATCTGGGAATTTACAGCTAGCAGCGGCCCTTCTACTTCATCTCAGGTAGTTTGAACTTGGTCCATGTCTTGCCGACGAGCTCTCAATTTTATCGCACGGAATTCGAAGAGGTTTGCCCAACCTTGAGAGTGTTTTGAAAACGGTAAGATGGGCCAAGTGACAAATGCTATGGAGTGCATATGAACCGGTGTAGGGGAGAATCCGAAGAGCTGAGGATAGAAGACAAAGAACCACCGTTACGGGGAACTCTCTGAATATAATCAATGTCTCCCCCAGCGCACAGCTACAGTGCGATGATCTCTCCAACAGTTCCAACAACTGCATCACCTCACTGAAACCATCATGGGGAACTGCTGTTGCGGCTGCAAGAAGTGGAACAAACACGTGAGGTTCAACGTCGGAGGTGCGAAATTCGACACAACATTCGGCACCGTCACGAGACGAGGGAAAGATCGCACAAACTTGCTTGCCCTGATGGTCACAAAGCGCTGGTGCTGTCGCAGGAGGCGCGGGCTGAAACGGCTCACTACCATTTATTCCAATGCAGAGACTTTTATCGATCGGGATGGCACGCACTTCCGGCACATATTAAATTGGCTCCGTGACGGCGACGGCGTGGTACCGGAGTTGGACGCGGCCAGCTACAGGGCGCTTCTCAAAGAGGCAGAGTATTACCGCCTCGACAAGATGGTGAAAGCCATCTGGGAGGTTCTCAACCCCACCATGGAATATGTAGCAAAGAACTGACCCTCTCCTTCCATCCGCCGTTCCGAATCCATCGCTGGAAAGTGCGACAACTTTTCCTCGCGTTTCAGGGTTTGGAATTTAGGGATCGAGTTCGGGATTTAGGGTTTTCGTTTTTGGGGTTTGGAGTTCCTCTACTTCCCTACTTGTTTCTGCCTCCAGCTATTATCTGACATTGAACTACGAGAGTTTGCATTGCTTGATGGCATTGTCCATAACAGCACTAATTTACCAGGTTCATTTGTACACCACCTAATGGACATGAACTGTATAGAGATAATCTTTTAAATGGTTCAATAGTATTGAGTTTTGATTACTTTGAGCTTCTTGATCACGTTTTGTTTCGGTATTTGTTTGGATATTCTTCATGTTTGATTTGTATTATAGCATTTTAAAAATAGGCTTATGTTACCCTTCCAATGTATGTCACCCAGGTATTACATGTTCCATTCATATGCTTTTGATTATAATTGTTTTAATTTCATGTCATGTTGTCTGTAAATGTTCACTATCTTGGATCTATTGCAATTAAGCATACGTGTTAGTTAGAAAAGATATTACTTTTTAATGATCTTTTTTCATCATACTGTATGAATTTTTGAAAAACTATGTGTAGAAATTTTTAGAATGTAATTTTGATAATTTTGAAGTGTATCTCAAGTAATTTGATTTGTACAAACGTGATGAACTAATTGAATTATTATAAGGATAATTTAATAAGAGATTTGACTCAATCAAGTATTAAATGGCTGAACAACACTATGAAAGCAAACAAGTAATTTTTATTATTGTTTTGAAGTCTTATTTGTATTATCATGTACAGAACCATAAATTTTTCTACATCTTAAAAACTGATGTTGAAGAGTAAGGAAGATTGCCATGATCATTTATTTTTAAGATTAAAAATAAATAAAACAAAATCTAGTTCATACTTCAACACTACTTGCTCTAAAAGTGCAAATTTATATTATTAATTAATTGTTTTAGTGTTACTCTAATTTTTTATCTTCTATGATTCTTATACTTCCAAAATGTAATTTTGGAGCATATATATATATATATATATATGTCATTCTTTATATGCTTAAAAACATATCTAAGACAAAAATGAAGTAAATGTTGCACTAAGAAGCCATTTCAATGAAACAAAGATTTTTTTTATTCTTTTAATAAAAAATCACTTCAAATCATATTTAAACATCAATCATGTGTGTATATAGAAAGTCAAAATCAAAATTGAAAAAGTTATACAAAGAACCTATATATATATATATATATATATAGAAAGAGAGTTGTTGAATCCACACCTCTATTATATTAACACCACACCCCTTTTTGCCATCTCATTATTAATTCAGTCTACCTCCCATCCCTATTCCATATTTTAAATCCTTAATCTCTTGTCTCTATTCATTGTCTCCCATCTTGACCCCTCTCCATCCACATTCCATGTCTCCCATTCCAAATCCTACCATCCCTTGTTCCTTGTCTTCCATCCCTTATTCATAGCCCTTGTCCCTATTTCCAATCCATATCTTGAGAAACCAATCCTAAATCCCAAACCCTTTAGTCATGGATTTAATACATGGTGTTTATTTCAAAAGACATGTACATTTTAAATTTTAACTAGAAAATTTAAGATTTCAAAGGTATATAGAACACAATCAATTAATCCAATAATATTTAAATCTAAAAGAGATGTATTGCCTTTAATTGCAATTAGAAGATTACAATGCAACATCAATAAAGTTTTAGTCATAAAACAATTTTGTAAAAAAATATCTTGATTTAAAGTTATTGTTGCTATTCACAATGATAAAGAATGAGAGTGAGGGACAAGTTCTAAGAACAAAGACATGAGAGAAGGAGAGAAGAAAAGGGGTTTGAGATAGGAGACAAGGAGGTTGGAACAAGGTACTCAAGATAGGGAACAAGAAACTTAGGATAGAGAATGGAAGACTAGGGACATGGAATGTAGATGAGGATATTGGGATATGGTACTCAAGATAGGAAATGGAGAATTAGAGACATGGAATGTGGATGAGGATATTGGGACATGGTACTCAAGATAGGAAATGGAAAATTGGAGACATGGAATGTGGATGAGGATATTGGGACATAGTACTCAAGATAGGAAATGGAAAATTGGAGACATGGAATGTGGATGAGGATATTGGGACATGGTACTCAAGATAGGAAATGGAAAATTGGGGATATGGAATGTGGATGAGGATATTGGAACATAGTACTCAAAATAGGAAATAGAAAATTGGAGACATGGAATGTGGATGAGGATATTGAGACATGATACTCAAGATAAGAAGTGGAGAATTGGGGACATGGAATGTAGATGAGGATATTGAGACATGATACTCAAGATAGGAAATGGAGAATTGGAGACATGGAATGTGGGTGAGGATATTGGGACATGATACTCAAGATAGGAAGTGGAGAATTGGGGACAGAGAATGAGAGATTAAGAACTAAAAAAATGGAGATAATGAGATTCAAGGCTAAAGACAAGAGATGGAAGATAGACAAAATTAATCATAAGATGGCAAAGAGAATGTAGAATTAACAAAATAAGGTATTGTTTTAACAACTCCTTATATTTAACATGATTATCTTGATATTATAATAAATAAGTTAATAAATTATTGTATATTATATAATGATTTAAAATTTTAAAATTTTGATCACATTTAAAGAGGTGCTTGTGCTCGTGCATTTTATGCATTCCTACATTTTCTAAGTTCTAATGTTCTCACATTTCTTGTACTCCTTGCATTTCTTTCTTTATAGCCAATGATAAGGCTTCTTTGTCTTTTCATCTTATATCTAAGTTATTTTTATATAATAGATCTTTTTATGATGATTCAAATCATCTATAATTAGATCATTAATGTACCATATTAAAATAAGTAAGATAAATTAGAGAATTATTAGTTGGATACCTCTTTTTACTACATGAACATCCTTTTTTGTGGCATACAATTCTATATACATACAATAAAATTCTTATTTACATTAAAAATATTTAGGATAAATTTACAAAAAAAGATTTTTGTACAATGGCTTATGACATTTTTATTTTATTATATTTTATTTATTAATTCTAATACAATTTTATAATAAAATTTATTTGATACTTATATTTTTATAAAAATGTTCATCAATTTCATTTAAAAAATCACATGTTGTAAATTTACTCTAATTTTTTTTAATATAAATAAGAATTATATTGTGTGTATACACAATGTGTGGCACAAGGAGGTGTCTACATAATAAAATGGAAGGTGTCTACATAGTGATTCCTTGAAATTAAAATATAATTATAGATTGCAAAAACATACATTTGATTTATATAAAATTATTGGAAATATTTTAAATATATATTAAAAGAAGTGTGTGTATATATATATATATATATATTTATATACAAACATGTAACAATTAAATGATATAATAAGGATATTATTCATACCGCCACAATTTTTGCTATTGCCTCCACATTCTTCCATCTACCATATGCCATCTTTATTTAGTACCTCTAAAATCAAATTTTCTTTCTTAAATACCTTTCAAATCAATTGATTGAACATAATCTTTAACTGCATTTTAAAAATAAATAATAATAAAAAAAACATGTTAAGTAGGTAGCAATTTGTGGTGGTAGTGTTAATACATTATAATAATATTAAAAAGATTATTTATAAAACAAAATAAATTATATTAGTGTTGATCTAAATTTACATCTTTACTTACTTCCTCAATCTGTTTTTTACTATATGAAATTTGAATATTTAGCAAAATAGAATATCCTTATAAATTTGTAGAAGATTTTTTTATTTTTTTAAAACAAATTCCTTCAAAGACATAAACTTCACATAATAAATGAAAATCATTTGAAATTTACAGAATTATTAGAAACAAGATAACAATATTAAAAAAAACATCAAATTCTATTAATGAAAATAAAATCATATATAAATAGATTTTAACAAACATTAATATAATTATTGAACATATAACCTTTAATTAATTACAAAAAAACCATTTTGTAATTTATCCAAAAATAATAATTTTTTGGAATCTACATATCTTGTGAAATTTTACTTTTCAAATTTAACTTAGTACTTAGAAACAATATTAATATCCAAATTATTATGTGGCTTTATGTGGGAACAAAAAACCAACGTATTTGTATTTAATATGATTTGACTATTTTTAGTTTTTTAGTTTTCAAATTATTCTATTTAATATAATATTTGAATATACTCAATCATTTAAGTAAATTTACATGATACTAAATTTGAATTTATAATAAAATATATCATCAAAAACAATACAAGATGTGGAATTTGCTCTTATCAAGCATTTATGTTTTGGACACAAATTTATGTTTTCTTAAATTAAAAAAAGATGCATTATTACCAATTTTTTGTGAAAAATCTAAAGTGAGATATCAATAATATGGTTATTATTATTAGTATTATCAAAAATCAATAGGATAGCTATAATATTTTTATTAAATGTGACATACATTTGAGACTTTAATTTGAACATTATGTGCATATATATATATATATAAATGAACATACAGGTCTAACAAAGTAGTATTACATTACCAAAAATAATAATAGAAAATACGTTATGGTATATTGTATTTATGGAATGCTTTCATTTGTTATTTCGTTTTTCAAATTATATCCCAATATCCTCTTTTGAATTTTAAGCTTGAAATTTCCATTTTTAGAATTGGTCATTATCACTTGTTTTCTTTTATAATTCATGAGAGCCTTATTATCTTTACAATAAATTTTTCAATCAATTATTTAAAATCCAAGTTACATTCATATATATACATACTTATTAAAAATTCGTATTCAATTTTATATTAAGAAACACATAAGGTATGAAATTCTAGATAGATATATATATATATATATATAGATAGATAGATAGATAGATAGATACATATGCACTTTTATTCAAAAACATGTCAATAATTCCAAAAAGTAATTAGGTTTATAAAATAGTTATACGAAATCAGAACAAAATTCTATGGTCTTTTTAAGAAAACATAATGTACCCTGTGTTGAATTAAGGTAGTAAAAAAACAAAAAATAATATAAGTGCTTCCACACATATATTCTAATAAAATGTCTGGTTAAATAATAAATAAATTGATAAGATGATAATTCAATTAGTCAATTCTTATTTATAATTTTATTAGTAAAATTATATAAAGAATTTAATATCTTTCATTATATAATTCAATCTTGTACTATTTTCTCGTAGATAATAGAATTAAATAATATTCTTAAAAAAAAAACACTTTGTAAATTTTATAATTTCTACTTAAAGATGAAAAATGAAATATTTGTATGACTTACTAAATGGATTTGATAACCATTAAAGTAAAATTGAAATAAAATAACCTATTTTATAATTTATAATTAAGACAAACCAAAAATCTAACATGTCTTAATTAGTTTATAGGAAAGAAAAATTTCAATTGCACTTTGAATCAAAAATAATTTGAGGTTACATTTTTTACAAGTTTAAAAACATAATCTCTTTCAACAATAATAAAAATACAATAAAATATTTAATAAATTAATTCCACTATTAATTAATTTTGACTAAGAAGATGTAGTCAAATAAAAATAATTGAAATAGCAGAAAATAAATTATAAATCAAGAAATTGATGTACCACTTCTTAAAAAATAATCTTTAATAGAATTTTTTTGACAAAAACTTTCTATCTCAATGATTTTAAAGAGAATCTCCATCGGAATAGTAAAAGAAATGTATCTGCCTTATGATAGAATTAATTAGACATCATTGTTTATATATATATACTTGAGATCTAAAGTAATATAAATATTGTCGTTGTTATTAATTTTTAATAAATAAATATTTACTTGTTTATTTTGAACACATCTTTGGAACTTTTATTTCGAATTTTAAAATTATGTAATATTTATAAAGTGAAATCTTTGTAGATGACCTTCATAAAAATAGATAAGGATATAAGTAAGGTCCATAAGAAAATTCTTGATTTCTAATCCAATGACTTATCATATTGTATAATAATGTTCTTTAAAGAAGTATAACATGTCTTCTTCCTCTTTCTAAATAATAGGACCAAGTTTTCAACTTGACATTAGTCAACCATGCTTGTATCGATATTTTACAAACTGTTACTTTCTAATCTTGTTTTAAAAAAATTGTTATTCTTCCAATACATATTTTCTCAATTTTTTTGTTTGATTCTAAATGACAAACCAATGTCCCCACTTTACATGAATGCCAAACTAAGACAATGAACAAGCACTCATAACAGGAACTAGACGCATTCCAACACACTACCAATTTGTTGCAAAACTCTTTGCAAGGCATAGTCACAACCTTGCGTTTTGTCTTATAATATGGTATTACAATAAATGCAGCTCAAAAATTTAATTTTGCAAACTATATATATATATATATTTATATATATATGGCTCAGCTACCTACAACCCAACAGGAGTAACCAAAATGAAATCTTCAAGGCTACTGCAATGGTTTAGGTGCCACCTTTTGTATGCCACAACAAACAACAATTCTTGGTGGAAGTAAGTGACAAACCAATATACAATAATTAGTATAACACTTCAGTCAAAATTGGTATGCACCATACTTATCACCTACAAATGCAAAATAAGCACAGTTGATGTGATCGTACTGTGAGCTCTTGACGTGGGGTCGCAGTGTCCAGAATTCTACGGCGTGTTAATAAGGAATTGCAGGGAGTGAATATAACGCTAAAAAAAACAGTGCAAGTATACCCATCTCAAATCCTGTGCGCAAAGAAAAAACAGACAGGAAAAGAAAAGTCCACCCATGTTTCCCAAACATTTACTAATGCAGCCCAAACACAAGCAATTGGGCAAAAGAAACTGCACTCTACATCACATCAATGAAGGTGCTCTCCAGTGAGTCAAACAAGATGACAGCATAAACAAACGATATACAAAAAAGTATCGATCGATTAGCCAGAGTGGCGAAAAATTTCAGCAGTATCATCAGCACCCGTGGTAAGAGCATCCGCGCCACTAAAAGGGTCTCGGGAAGCTCTAGACGGAAGCTCATTGCGGGTCGTAACCTCAGCAAAGCTTGCTTTAGAAGAGTCGCTAAGAGGAGGCAAATCACCAGGCTCCTCTTCATCCATAACCTTTTGAACTGAAGTACCTGCTGGGTACAGCTCTAGAATCTGCTCAATTTCTTCCCCAAAAATTTCTTCCCTCTCCATCACCACGTACACCATTTTGGTGAGCGCCGCGTGATGCTGCTTCAGCATTTTCAACGTTTTCGTGTACATAGATTCTATTAAGTTCTCTGTTTGCTCCATAGTGGCATCAACAAGGTCATAATTCAGAGGCTTTTGGACAAAGCCATAATCATCATAAAGTCCACCTTCAAAGCCTAATGGAGGACCAGTCATGGATCCCCCACCGTCCCAAGGACATGGATCGCCAGTCAATGCAATTCCTTTCTCTAGATTCCAAGTTGAGACTATCTTACGAGCAAGCCAGGTCGCGTCAGGAAGATGAGTCAGAGAGTAACTTGAGGTATCGCGCCCATACATAACCTCTTCACCCGCTCTGCCGCCCAGAAGCACCTGCAGACGATGGAGAAGAGCAGGTCTTCGCTCAAATAAATAATACTCGTCTTCGAGGCGGTTCATTATGCATCTGGCGAGGGTATCCCCACGCGGGACAATGGAAACACGATCACAGAATTCGGTGTCAGCTTGCTCAAAGTGGCGGAGGAGGTGGGAGGTGAGAGCAATGCCGAGCTCGTGGGCAGCCATGCGACGGTGCACTGGAAGACGACGCCGCATCCCAATCCTCTCAGGACCCATGGTGAGACGGTCAAGTGCCCGGTCCATGTCGATGCGTTCAATGATAGTTCCACCATGGCGGACAGCGACTAAAGCCGCCTCCTGGAGTAACTGAGCGAGCTCGGCTCCAGACCATCCAGGCAGATTCTTTGCGTATGATTCTAGGTTCACAGTCTCATCGAGCTTCACACTCTTGGCATGTACTTTGAGGATCTCGTACCGCCCTTTCGCACGCGGAGGTCGAATGGCTACCTTGCGGTCGAACCGACCAGGTCGTAGAAGGGCGGGATCCAACATGTCCATCCTATTCGTCGCACCCAAGAACACAACACCCTTGCCCGTGTCGAAACCATCAAGCTCAATTAGCAGCTGATTCAACGTCGTCTCTCGTTCTTGTGCTCCTGCATTGTAAGTGTCCATTCCTTCCTCGCCAGCAGCTCCGTGCCGCATGGCTCCTAGCGCATCAATCTCGTCGATAAAGACGACAGATGGCCTATTCACTTTTGCACGCTTGAAGAGATCACGAATCCGAGCAGCGCCAACACCAACCAAGACCTCAACAAATTCAGAGCCAGCCATCTGGTAAAATGGCACACCAGCTTCGCCTGCAATCGCCTTGGCCAGGAGAGTTTTGCCACAGCCGGGAGGTCCTTCCAAAAGCACTCCATGCGGGGGTTTAGTACCCATCTGGTTGAACCGCTCAGGGTCCTTCAAGTAGCTCACCAGCTCTTGAAGCTCAGTAACGACATCATCTATTCCTGCAACATCTGCGAATCCAACCCCAGTTGATCCCTCCACCCGAGCTTGCGGCTTAGACTGGCCAAACTCGATTGCTTGCCATAAATCCCACTTTGTGAAGTCTTTCGGTCGTCTTGTGAGAGTGAACTTTGCAAGGGCGGCCATGGCAACGAGGACAAAGATGATTGCACCCAGTGTGCGAAGGGACTGATACGTTGTGCCAGAAGAAAGCATTTCTCGAATGCCAGGAAACATACGTGCTCCCTTACCACCTATGAGTGCCTCAGAGATCATGTATCCGATGTTCCTACCCATGGCAGCAACCAGACCAACTAATGGTCGCACAAACGGTGAGCTCAAAGGCCACAACACCCGTAATATCACAAAGGAGACTATTCCAGTCGCGGCAAAGAGAACGGCTGAGGCCATGCCTCCAACGGAGAGAGCCGCCGCACCCACCAAACTAGCGATCACCGTAACTTCCATCATAACCCGCCCGGATATGGCAGCTGCAACTGGATGCGGTGCTGCTTCAGGAACTGCAACATACGGCGAGTAGTGACTCTCCACCTCAACTTGCTCGCCTTTGCATTCTTTGAGGGCAACTTCGGCCTCTTCTTTAGACAAATGCATCGACCATTTCCGCGCCTGCAAGGTTAACTCACCTGGAACTGGCTTAAGCTCCACGAGGAAGTCATAGTAAGCATGCTTGCCCTCCGGCGTCTTTACACCTCTTGATACTAAAAAGTTAATCTCTCCTGCCCTGGCTGCCCTTAAGAACTCCTCAAAGCTCATCTCGGGTAGTGATTCAAGCTGCCGGCTGTATTCTTTAAACTCATCCGTCTGACTCTCGAAGACCTCTTCTGGAACATAGAGGTTGCCTTTGAAGCCACGAAGAAGGTCGTTGAGATATACACGGCTGCTAGCTAGTTCTTTAGTCTTTGCAGTGGCAGGAACTCCTTCAGTTGGTGGCGGTATCTCTGCTAACTCAACCGCATCCTCTTTTACATACTGCCGCCTTTCCAACAACGGCTGGACAACAGTACCCCACAGAGCATCGGTAACCGCTCTCCAAATTGGAGTCTCCGCCTCTCGCAATTCTTTCAATGTGTACAACGTATCGCCGACTAAATACTTTGATTCCACTTGACTGGGAGTTTCAGTCAATAGTTTGGAGATATAATCTTCTCCCTCACCCCCGCCCCTAGCTGACGCAACGATACAACCTAAACGTGCTCTTCTTCTGGAACGCGGTCGAACAACCCTGGTGCGCAATTGCAGCTGCTTAAAGGACCCCAGCCCTAGAATACTCCCACGAACTCCATAAGAAATTCGGGGCGCGACGGATATCATGGGTCGCCCTTGCAAACAGCTCGGCACCACCATTTCGGCAGCCACAGGAACCATTGAAATGCGCTGCACATGTACAACTATTGCCTGCAAAACGAGGCGCGAGGGGCCTCCAACGACAAACTCACCGAGCTACTGCTGGACTCGTTGAAAACAACATACACCGGCAGCTGGGACGCCACTACCGCTACCAATTGCGCCCAAATCCAGTCCTCACAACGACACATGTGACCAGAGATTCAACACACATCCCCGCCTCACTTCCTCGCGTATCGCAACCCCTTCTTCAGCAGCCTCTATCTCGGATAAGCCCCTCCACTCGCAATTCATCTTCGAAATTAGGGCAGCTTAGGCACAGAACCAAACTCACGTCACACCCCCTAAAATTTTATTCCTGCAAAAAAAACAATCCACCGTCCCAAACCCCACTCAAGAACCATCACCTAGACACCAACGTCCGCACCCACAACACACACACACACACACAATCACAACCCAGTATCCCCTGCTCCTGGCTCCCAATTCTACAAACAATTGTAACCACACAAAGCAACCGTCATTGTTCTCTTCTGACCATCAGAATCGGCAACTGTTGTTGGCTGATTCCCACTTCATAATCCCCTCAAAAACCCACTCGACGCGACAAAATCCACAGGACTGAGTCCTCCTCAGACGCTTCGAAACAGAGTAGACGCCGGCATTTTCAATTGCAAGAATGATTGCGCGAATGCGTCGACTGTGAGACGGATTGGTGAGGAGTACGTGAGAGGAAGAGGGCCCTCCGTCTGCAAGAGGCGACTCTACCTTCCTAATTGCAAGCGACGCAACAGCCCCAACCCCAATCTAAATCCAAATCCTCTCAGCAGCGAGCACATCCGGAAGAGGAGGAGCAACGTCACCTCGGACGGAGCCCAATTGTTCCCTACCTGAGAACCTCGTTCCCCATTGGGAACTTCGTCTCTCCCCCCCCCCCCCACCCCGCTCGACCTCGATGCCCAGTTTTATTCGAACTCAACGTTGCCATGTCACATCACGTCACGTTCCAAAACCAGCCATGGCGCGGCGGCTTCCTTCGACGGTTTTTGTCTCTTCAAATTTCGTGTTCTAGGCTTTCATCGTATCTCCAGTTTCGTTTTTTTCTTTATTTTCTACGCTCGTAGCTTTAGACATCCCTAGTCTATTCGGTGGGAGCTGTTTTAGAAACACGATTATTTTGGTTGGATCATTTTTGGAGAGCTCAGAGTAGGGAGTGGGGCTATCCTCGGGCGATCCTGAGCTCGTCTTGTTATTCTTGGTATTCGCATAAGTGCTGTACGAATTCGCTAATTAGTGGCAATTATTGTGTGCAGGATTTGGTTTCTGAGTTAAATATTCGTTAGGATTGATCAGAGCTGTGTATTCATTCAGTGCCCTGCGTCAATTGCTCGGTGAGTTCAGTCTGTTAGAGGACTTCGAACTAATATTTCATCATTGCATTTCTGTAGTCGACTTTCGTGATTGTTCTTTCCGTTTCTCACCGATCTTGAGTTGTCCATTTTGTGCATGTTTTTGTTTGGCGGTTGATGTGTTGAGATAGTTCACAGGAGATAATCTTTGAAATTCTCAATTAATTATTTGCTATTCGAGATGGATCCAGAACAACTTCAAAGTCTCCAGATTCAGGCTTACAAAAGTTCAAATCCTGAAAACAACAGCGTAAATCCTTTCTTTCCAGCCCTCTGTTCTATAAAGTTGTCTCAGTGTCTGGGTAAGCTTATTAGTAAGTTTGTCCCGATTAGCGAAGTCTTTTGTGAGGCATGTGCTATCACTGCTATGCATTCCTACCAACCGACACAATGTTTTTGTTTCAGTTCATGATCTCCACCAAACTATATCAAGTCTAGCTTCCAGACTTTCGATTCCACATCTGTACAAAGCCCCACCGTAGTACGCAAGGGTAAATGTTCTGGTATGCTATCTGCTGATGTCTTTGAAAAGTTATCAATATTCATATTTATCTAATCCAGCGGAAAATACTACAAACTAGCATAACTATGTAAGAACATTTAAATTTTTTAGTATCTTTTTACATACTTATAGAAGATTTGAATTTTCATCTGGAATAAATCTTAATCACATAATATTAAATTCATTTGCTGTAAGCAATATTTAAGAGTCAACTTACTTACTGATTATTTTCCTCCATAGTTACAACGTTTATGCCAATGTTGTTGTGCATAAAAGGAAAACAATTTTAATTCCAAAAAATTAACATAATGATACACACTAATCATTTAAAATGATTGATGGTTTTTTCAACATGTTCATATGTACTTACTTATGTATGTTTCTCAAAGTTTGTTGTCCTCGAATTAAAAGTTCAAAATGTAAAGAAGGAAGCTTAAACTATAAATACAGAAACGTTTATTTCAATAAGAATATTTAAACTTGAATTATTAACTTTTATTTTAGTAGATGTTACAATTAATGTGCTATATATATATATATATATATATATAATTACTCTCTTTAATTTCTTTTGAAAAAAATAATTATATAACTTAGATTTCTTAACAATGTTAGTTTTATGATGAACTGATTTTTTAAATTTTTGCAATATATTTTTTAATTTTTATTCTTCCATTTAGATTTCTAATTTAGAAGTCAAAATTATACATCCCAATAAATATATATATATATATATATTTTCATGAAAATCTTTACATTATGAATTATAAGAATGATATTTTTAAAATTAACTGAACTTAATCACAACATAATTAAACAATTTTTTTCAATTGAGATATCCAATTTTTTTTTAATTTTTTTAATTATGTAAAGAGATTTAGATTAATTTAAATTTAATCAAATTAAAACTTTGATTGTGGATTGAGACTAGTACTTTTATTAAGGCACAATAAGATAAAATCTTTTAAAACTATCATCAAAAATTAATATGAGTTCAAATGAATCAGAACAAGTTATTATAAGATTATTTTTAAAATATTATTCTGTTAGCTAAAGGTAAAAAAATAAGTGAATGGCTAATTTTTTTAAAAACAGAGACATTGAGGCATTTAACTTTGGTATTTATTATAAACATTTGAGTATATAAACTATAATATGTTTTGAAAAGTAGAAAAGAACACAAGTTATTAAAAAAAGATTTTTTAAAAAAAAACAATTAAAATTTCTCCGAAGGTAAGTATAAATTAAAATAAAATTATTTTAAAATATTCTTTATTGTCTTATAGTCTTTGTTGATAATATTTCTTAATAAGATTAGGTCTAGTATTTATTATCTTTTAACAATTTTATTTCAAAGTATGTATTCTTGAATGTAAGAGAGACTATTCTATCTATTATGTACAAATCATTAAAATATTTTGAGCCTTAAATATTTGTAAGAAAAGGCCAATATAAAATTTCACACCAATGTTAGAGTTTTTCAAATATAAAATTTTAATTAAAAATCCATAAATTTATTATTATTATTATTATTATTAAATCTAATTTTCTACAAAAGTGTAGAAGTTCTGAATATATATATATATATATATATCAATATGAGATTTTTGTAACACCACATTCTTTAGAACATTTTATTATTTTTTTTCTTTTTTTGTTCTTGTAATAAAAAAGAAAATTTAATAAAGGTAAATAATATTTAGAATCTTGTCTTGCATTTTAATTTATATAAAATTTAGGTTGCTTCTATATATAATGCATCAACATATTACTTGATTCTATCATCCATATTTCTAATTTTCATTGTTGTGCAAGCATGTTCCTTACATATGTGTATATATTTGGTTGCTCAAAACAAATGAATATTTTGGTGTTGATATGTTAACTACATGTTTTTTAGTAATAAATACATAAAATACTATCTCAATTGCTTGTATCTTTACTATTAAAATCACATGTCTTTCTTATGTTTTTATCTCTATTGTACCGTATAACTATTTATAGTTATTAGAGTCACATCTACATTTTTTTATATTATCAATCTATCAATACAATACTCATGCATATTGTAGTGTATACAAACTTTGAATTATCCATAAGAAAATCATCTCAAACAAATACTATATATACATATATTTATATGAAGTATTTTACACTTAAAATCTTATCATCATCCAATACATTCATTGTTATTTATAATAATTGAAGTTTTTAGAATTAAATTCTTTGGTGAAAAATTAATTTTTTATACTACATATATGTATATAGATGTTAAATAATTACTTTTTAAAGTACTTTTTATTCAAAATTTATCTTTAGCTGGTAATTATCTATTTAATAAGGAGTTCTTGGTAACAAGTTTAGACAATTATTTTTTATTTGCCATAAAATTAATGCATTAATAATCTTAGATTATCTTGGATTTGTTCTCATTATCTCAAATCTTCTCGAACCTTTTAAGAAAACAACATAATTTGGTTATTGTCGTGGATTTATAAAAAAATTACAAAATATTTTAGACGTACTTTCAAAATATACATAAAAAAGGATGTTTTGATGACCAAAGTTGTACATCTTAATTTTTCAATTATATCCATCTTTAATAAAAAATTATTTTTATTGGAGCGTGTGTGCGAAGCGTGCTAAGTGCCATGGGGCGTTGTCCTCGCCGCGCTGCGGCAGCGTGGCCGTGGCGCCTCCGCACCTCGCTCGCACCTACCACAAGCGCGACCGCGCGACCGCGCGACCACGCGACCACCCAGCAGCAGAAGCAGGGCCAGTGCCTCTCTCTCACTCCCCAGCGTCGCGAGCCGTCGTCCCTGCTGCGTGCCGGTCATGGCCTAGGCCCTTAGAGCTCACGTCCACATGACCAAGCTGTGAAGGGGGACTCTTTCTTCACTGCCCCTTGCTTCGGACACTTGGCCAGGCGCCTTCGTGTGGCACATGGCGTGCATGCGTGTCGCCATGTCTCCTCTTTCTACCACCCCCCCCCCCCCCCCCCCTTGCCTGTCTCCAGAGCCTTCTCTCCCGCTTATTTCCTGCTCCCATTTTAGCTGCAGTTGTTTGTATGAGGTGGGACGTTGGGTTTTGCGAGCTGCTGTATTTTTTTGGTTCCATATGATACCGTCTCTCTGTTTTTTTTTTGGAGGTGCGTTTTTTTCGTAATTCGGACCTGGTTTGGGTTTGCTTGAGATGGGGTCTAGTGGATGGCAGTGGAGATGAACGTGTTGCGTGTTTGTTGTTGGTTGTGGTGATGAGGCGGAAGGATTTGAACTGTTTAGGATCTTGTTGTATCGTGTCCATGTTCTTGTTGAAAGTTTGAGTATGTTTAACGGTTTTGCAAGAAAGGGATCCTGTGCCAAGAAGATTTGTTCCTGCGAGGTTTTGGCAAGGGGTTTAAAAATGGTGTGGGATCTTGTTCACTGCAGGCGTGCGATTTGTCTAAGAGTTCTTGAAGACGACAGTTTTGGTTGAGGAAGTTTGATCTTTGTTTGAGCAAGATGGGAGGCGGATGGGCTTTGGGAGAATTGGTGCCTGATGTTGAGGCCGACTCAACTGTGGGACACATTAAGGTTCGGGACTACTGCAAGGATGGCTGGACTATTATCTTCTCTCACCCTGGTGCGTGGAATGCGAACCCGGCTGTGAGACCGTATGGGAGCTTCAGATGACAAACTTCATTTGCCTAAGTTTTGCTGTTTACTCATGCATGCCATGACACAATTCCTATGATAAATATCTGGGTTAGAAACTTACTCGAGATGTTTACTCCTTGGATCAGGTGACTACACACCAGTGTGCACCACGGAATTAGGAAAGATCGCTGCATACAACCCTGAATTTGAGAATCGTGGTGTGAAGTTGCTAGGACTTTCAACCGATTCCGTTGAGGATCATCTGGGTTGGATTGAGGACATTGAAACTTACACAGTATGCTTGCAAAACTCTGTATGATTTTTTTTTTCTTGATTTAGAAAATGTGCTCCTGAAGTAGTAATTGGAGGCAGCTGGTTGGTTAGGTAGAGCCTTTAACGATCAGGGATTAAATCGATCGCAGAGGAAGACTTGAAGTTTTTTCATCGGTTTATGCACATGGAAGTAGTTTCATACTAAATTTTTGGGTGGAATGTGGATAGCCGGGTGCACCAGTATTGTACCCCATTCTTGCTGACCCTGACCGGAAGATAACAGTGGCCCTCAACATGATGGACCCTGATGAGAAAGACGCGAACGGAAAGCCACTCGCTTCTCGTGCGTTACACATCGTAGGCCCCGACTGCAGGGTATGTTTGCTACCTTGTTCTATAATCTTAGGGTAGCTGAGGTTGCTTTCAAACTAGTTACGAGTAGAACACCTTGATCGTCTCTGAATTGTTGATCCACCATACCAGAATCTTCATCATACTCAAAGCTGCGTTACATCTCTTATTATTTTTATTTTCTCACTTTTGTCTCGATATTGGGTCTGTTGTGAGCAGTTGAAGCTGAGTTTCCTGTATCCCGGCACGACCGGCCGCAATTTTGATGAGGTTCTGCGGGTGCTCGATTCATTGCAATTGGCATCCAAGCATAAGATCGCTACCCCAGCCAACTGGCAGCCGGGTGAACCCGTTGTCATTTCTCCCTCCGTTTCAAATGAGGAGGCGAAGGAGTTGTTCCCTCAGGGATGGGAGACTTTTAAGTTGCCTTCTGGCCAGCCATATCTTCGCATGACATTTGTGGAATAAGCGTCGAGTTGATGGTACTGATGTGCATAAATATTACATAATAAGACATGGTGTAGCATGGGGAGTTAGACCCTCGGATTGCGATGATGTTGCCTAACAGTGTCATGGGCATGACATCCTTTCATATGCCAGAGCTGATTCCTCGAAACTGCTGTGTTAAATGGATGGTGCAATAGTCTATTGCTTAGAAGATGCACGATTCGTTGTGTCTTACATCTTGTATCATATGCTGTTTTTTTCAGTACTTCTCGAGTTAGTCAACACTGGGTTTTCGCATGCTTACTTGGTTTGAATCGCATGAAAATTGTCTATGGTAGTCTATATCTTTGAGTGTTAGTTTTCAAAACTGCCAAAGTTGTCACGATTGCAATGAGTTGTTCAGAACTTTTCGAAATGGCTTTAATTTATCCAAATTCATCCAAGACTTTTCTACAGTACACAACAAAATACATTCGAAGGTGCAAATCAGATGTCGCAATGTCAACAGTGTAGATTTTTTCATACTATATTTAAAAATGAGGGGTTTTGTGCTCTGAGATGTTACACTTGCTTCATGACATTCAAGAACTTTTTTTTTTTTTTTTTTCTTTTTGGCAGCGTAGTGGACTGACACGATTAAAGATACTGAATACAAGGAATTTAGTAGATCACGAATAACCTTTAATCGTTTCATTTCTTTTGGAATAGTTTTTCTTTTGAAGATGCAATCTATTGTTCATGCTTTTTTTTTTGTTGTTCTAGGAGAACAAGATAATAACTACATATGTGTTTTTCAATGTTCAAAATTCATTTTCAAATAGAAACAAAAGTTGTTTATTATATTTATTTAATATCAAATGCAATCTTCTACAATCTGTTTTTACAATGGGCAGCAGTTTAGTAAGAGTGTTTATTCATTATTTTATTGAACATTGTTTGCAATAAATTAGTACTTTTTTCTTATCCATGTTGAGATATTACAATGTATAGAATCTTCTCACTTAGATCTTCATTAAATGAGTATGTTAAGTACTTAAATATTAAACGTTATATGGACATGTTTGACCACCTACATTATAATCAAACTAGATACAATAGGTAAAAGAGAATAAATGTAATTTCCAAATCATATTTGGTTTTATGGAATCATATATCAAAACTTATTTAAAAAAAATGTGGCTTGAATATGTATTATACTAGGCATATTGTTTCTACAAAATAACATTTCACCATTTTTTTAAACCAAAATAAATATCTATATCTAATTTTGCATGAAGTAACACCAAAATTTTGAGATAGAGACTTTTCAAAAAACTAGAATAGTATTATATAAAAAAGAAAAAAAAGAAAAGAAAAAAGAGAGCCATATTTGCATGTTTTTGTTGTTCATGAAAATTGAAATTAATTTCTATATACCTTCATTATTACTTCTATATACCTTCATTTTTTGTCTTTTGTGTTTTTTCCAATCTTATTAAAATCTTACGTCTTATTCAAATTGTTTATTACAAATTAAACTTGATGTTATTTTCTTTCTTTATTTATTTATATGTACTAACCAAATTGAAGTTATTATAGTCTAACTTATAATTATAACCAGTGTAGAATTTTCTCTTATCAAGTATTTGTTCAACTTAATTGTGTTGAGAGTGTTGAAAAATGGATTGACAAACTTGAGATTAGAAGACACCTATGGTACCAAAGTCAAGACCAGAGATCCTACAAGGATGTTTAGATTCCAAATTAAGATGCATCTGTTTCTTTTGTATTGCTTCTTTGAATTTTACATCTTTTTATTTTAACAATCATTTTTTAGAAGAAATATGTTTCCAACCAACGTCAAATCTAAAGTTAGCATCTATCAATAAACATAATAAAATTTAAGAACTAAGCATCTTACTTGTTTTAGACTTGTATATTTGATTTTTATTTAAAAATAGATGAATATGTATTCACATTTTAAACAACTATATTTTCATGTAATAAATCAACTTTAATGCAAATAAGAAGAGGGATGGTTTTTGTCTTCCAAAATTACACTACTCTAGAGTGAATCTCTTCACTAAGTTGAAACAACTCTGATCTTGGATCAATATTATAATTGTTTAATTTTTACTATTTTTTTTGTCTTAAATATAGATAATTGAAAATAAATATTTAAAAACGCCTTTACAAACTTATATATCTCTAAGAATATATCTATTTGTTTCCAATGTTTTTAAGTTAAATTTTATAAGATTTTTACAGAAACATATCATCTTTATTTTTTTCAATATAGATAAATAGAAAATATATATATATATATATATATATTAATCTTTTTATAGATATTTATTATTTTTCTAACATAATTATAAAAAAATTAAAAATTTCATATAATAATTTTAAACTAACTATAATATTATAGTATAAATTCAAATAACTTTTAAAAAATAAATCACTCTAATTATTATTTTTTAAATAATAAAAATATCATAAATTAAAAAATTAAAATTTTTTTCTTAATTTTTTTTTTCAAAGCAATGAGTGTATGTGTGTGTATGTATGTATGTATGTATGTATATAATCCCTTGTCTCTTGTTTTTAGCCGCCCCCCCTCTCCCCTACCCTACTCCCTAGGTGTAAATTCAACTTGGATTGTGGTAATGAAGCTTGTTATTGTAAATAAATTTTTTTGTAATATTTTATTTTATTCTATTTTGTTTTTCTTCTAGAATTCTATTTTTCACCCTATTTTTTTAAGTTGAAGATAAAACCAATTTAAGCTTGGTAAATAATAAATATTCTATTTTTTTGTTTAAAATAGGTCATTTAAAAAAAGAATTTACAAATCAGTCATCCAAATAATAAATTTAAATAAAAAAACACTTTATTCTGTGGACATATTTTTCTGGATGATTATTTTAGTGCAAACTCCCGTAATGGCCAATCAAATTAAGACCTCAATTTGCAAGTTCTTCATTCTTGTAGGAATCATTATTAATTATAAAAATATCTCATTTTTTTTTTCTTGGATGTTCTTCATTTATGTAAATATTAAATAAGTCAGGCGTTTTTATAAAAAAAACTAAGAAAAGATTATTTTTGTATATTATTGAGCTTTATTTTTTAATATGTGTTCTTCGAATTTAATGGATCATCAAAATCATTTCATAAATGGTTATTCTTTGTTAAAATGATTGTTCTACTAACATCATAATTAAGTTTCGAATTTTATTTTTGAATATGTGTTTTACTTCAAGAACTTCAAAACATATATTAAAAAATTGTTTTAAAAAAGTAATAAAAGTAATGATTCATGTTTATTTCTTGTTTAATTTTTTATATTAGATTATTGTCCCATCTAACACCATTTCGTATTCAATGTTCCCATGCCTGTTTAAGCACTAATATTCAATATGTTTGGCAATGTCAAATGACGATAAATAATTTATTTAATAATTTACTTAAAACCTACTCTAGCTTATTGATTTTTATACATACTATATGTAAATGTATTGACCTCTTATTACTTTAATTATTTCACAACATAATTTACATAAAATTTATTTAATTCTACACTACAATATTATTATAATATAATATTAAATATTTAGAAACATATAAATTATCAAATTATATTTAAAGATATTTTGTAAAATGTTAATTATTTGCTTTAATATTTACTTTACATTTTATTTTAATTTAATTTTTAAATAATTTATGTTCTTTCAGTATTTGAATTAAATATCACTATTATATATATATATATATATAAATATATATATATATATATATATATATATATTATTTCAAAAACATAATGAATAATTATATATAATATTTCTTTAAATAACCACAAATAATTATAAAAAAATATGTCCATATAACAAAGTATTTTTTAATTGAATTTATTATTTAGTTGATTTATTTGTAAATTCTTTTTTTATATGACAAAATTTAAACAAATGATAGAATTTATCAAGCTTAAATTGGTTTTACCTTTAATTCAAAGAAAATAAGATCAAAATTAGAATTTTAGAAGAAAAATAAAATAGAATGGAATAAAATGTTACGAAAAATGTTATTTACAATAAAAAGCTTCATTACCACAATTCAAGTTGATTTTTTACCTAAGGGATAGGAGAATTTTGGATGGGAGATAAGGGAGTTGAGAATGAAAGGTGATGGAGTTAAAAATGAAAAACAAGGGAATTATAAATGAGGGACGAGGAAGTTGGAAATGAAGGACAAGATGGCTAAGAATAGAAGACAAGGAGAGGGAGAGGAGAAACAAGAGATAGGAGATAGGGTGGCGAGGAATGAGGGGATGGAAGACTAAGAATATAGAACAAGCATGGAAAACGAGGAACAAGGGATATGAAGCAGAGATAGAAGATGGACGGAACTAATTATGAAATATCAAGGGAGATGTGGTTTTAATAAAAATAGGGTGTAGCATTAATAAATCCTTATATATATATATATATATATATATATATATAATCTGGTGATTATAATTTTATTTTTTTTAATATTAAAATTTAATATAATATACTACAAAAAAAAATATGTACATATATATATACTACAAAATAATTAAAAATATGTACATTAGAATAATTATTTCTAAAAACCATAATTTAAAAATCAATAAATATGTACAAAATAATTAGAAATATGTACATAAAAAAATATGTACATTAAAATAATTTATTATTATTTATTTTAAATATGTAAAAAATAATTAGAAATATGTGCATATTATTATTATTTATTTTACATCTATTAATTTTTGAATTATTCTTTTTAACCGTAATTCAATAATCAATATATATATATATATATATTTATATTTAATTATTTATTTAATTTTTTATGTACATATTATTATTATTATTATTATTATTATTATTATTATTATTTATTTTAATGTGCATAAAAAAATATTTTGTAGTATATTAATTATTTCTAAAAAGCATAATTAAAAATATGTATATTGATTCACCGAAAATTACGGTTAAAAAGCAAATTAACCGTATGTATGTTAAATAATTAAAAATATGTATATTGATTGTTGAACTATGGTTAATTTGTAATAAATAATTAAAAATATGTACATAAAAAATAAGTACATTAAAATATATAATATACTACAAAATATGTACATTAAAATAATTAGAAATATGTACATAAAAATACTACACATAATATACTACAAAATAATATAAATTTATCTATTAATTATTTTTTAAACATTAAATTTAAAATTTTAATATTTATATTAATAGAAATTCCAATAATTTTTTAAAATTTTC